CAATTATATACTCTGAGCCTCAGACCAGATAGTGCTTGCTTTCTTATGCTGGCTGCTTCTGCTCTTTTTTAATCGGAGCTCTCTTAAGATGTCTCGATGCACAAATAACATAATCGAAAGGTCAACAAGTTAAGCTTCGATGACAATACACCCAATCATTCCATTCCCGTTTATCAATATTCATTGACGTAATCCGATTACCCAGCGAATGCAAATGTAATTCCCCTCAGACCGGGAAGCTAGCTCCAACGCTCTCATCCACTGTTTTTCCTCAGCAAACGAATTACGAAAAACAAAAACAGATTTCATTATGAAAGCTGCGAAAGCACACAGCCAATTATTTTGAACCGAAATGCTCGAGATATAATAAAATAATTATTTGTGGTTTTTTTTTTTAATTCCATTTGATTGAACCCTCTCGAAAGGTTAAAAGAGGATGGATTACGGTCAGGGATTCTGTTCATAATAAAATTTGGCTAAAACCTAATAGATTTGGTTTGAATGATGAACATTTTCCACTACTTCACTCCTAGGATTCACTTGCCTATCGCAAAATTCGAAAGAGCATCCAAACTTCACTATCTTATTTTATTTTATTTTGTCGTCCACATTATTTATTTGTTCAGGCTACTCTTCACATAGTTCCAATGTTTTTGTTTTTGCTGGCTCTGGATCCCCCAAAGTGTCGCATTGACCTTTCCCAATCTCCAAAATCGATTGTATTTCGGAATAAATGAATTGGTTCTCCGGCTTTTGCCAAGCTATTAAGTATTCATGGGATATCAAAAAAAATGAATTGTTCGCTTGATGAAGGTAACCTAGTTCATGTGCCGGGATATAATCGGGGAAATTGTCAACTTCTATTTAATTTCAATGAAATTAAAATATTTTAACTGTCGACGTAATTGATGCATCGTAATGATCGTAATAAAATGTTTACCAGCACATTCTCTTTTAAACTCAATCCAGACAAGTGAATTTCCTTCAACCGCAAAATCCCCTCGCTTGAGGAGGAGGATTATTTGCATCATGTTCCCCTCCGCCACTATGCAAATCTCATCCAAGGAAAGAAAGCTCGTCGACTTCTATTCAAGTCAGGCGTGAAATAATCCCATTCGAATGGGTTAGTTACGAATGGTTTCGAGCAAAGGAAGCTCCGCTCAGCTCTGGTCTCGATGCAATTGGTTGAACTTGAAATCCCTCAGATACCCGTCATCGTGCACAAAAGTTTGCATATTCATGGACACGATAAAAGTTTCCGCTCCTCTTTTTTTTGCCGAGCAGAGCCAACAGGCGGGAAATTGTGCACATATGTATGTACGACCCAAGTGACAGACACCAATGTGTTTGTGCGGTTTTCTGTCTCTGCTTGAGTTGATTCTTCCCTTCTGTTCTGCAGAGGGTATTTATGGAAGGACCCCAAAATGTATGTATGTATATGTATTTTCTGGACTTTTCGGCAGCAAAGTTTTTTTTGGATTTAGTATATACATACATGTATGTATGCATGTATATATGTAGCTGTGAGATGGGAACAACAGGGTGTCAAAGTCTTCGGTGTTAAAGTATGATCCCTGATTTTGCTGCTTTGCTGCATTTGCATAATGATTTGGTCTTGGTATGGGACCTGTCCTGCTCCTTGGCGCAGTCAAAGGTCGCTGGAGCAGGTCGCCTTCGTCCTCATTCGTCCCCCTTCGACCGTATCTGCCTGAAGCATGCGGCACGTGCTTGTCACTACAACTGTCATAGTATTTGTGTGTAACTGTCTGTGGCTCCATGGAAATTTGTTGCGCCAACGACTGCGACAGCCACGGCAAAGTTTTGTTTTTGTTTCCGTTTAAAATTTCTCTCAAGGTCAGTGAATCCAGAGGTTCATTATCGCAGTGGCTGTCGCTGCCTGGTATGGTTTGTGGGAGGGACAAGCTGTGCCGACACTGAAGTCAAACAGCAGTTGTCCGAGACAGAGTGGGAGAGAGCAGCATGGAGAAGAATCACGACAAATTCAGCCCTAACTCAATGGAATCCAACGTATGCCATGAATCAGCCTCTGATCTAACTTTTCTCCAACTGCAATTACCGCTAGAATGAGAAGCATGGGCATGAACTAACGGCAGCTGCTCGATTACGTATACGGATTGCGTATACACAGTGGCTACTACCGTGTGCCAGCAGTCAGCTGTCGCAAGCTAATTGACGACAGAGCCATGTACATACACATGTACATATGAATATATATGTATATATGTGCCTTTATGTATGTTCTTATACAGAGGTGGCATTTGCTGCTGGAACGATCAAGAACTGCATGCGAGAGGTAGAGATAGAGCAGACCGCTATCTCGGTGACTTTTACAAAGTCGTGAGAAGAGCAAACACAAACAAAATCTCGGGGATGAAGGTGATTTAGTTGTTTGACATCGGGCTGGAGAGTGAGTCTCCCATAGATGGGGGAGGCGGAGGCGACGTTCTGAAAGCTCTCATTCGGTATGATATTGTGTTATTTTGTATATAAATGTTTTGTTTTTGCCAGCGAGCTTTTTGGATATATTAAATTATTATTATTTGTCTATTTCGTAATATTTCGTCTGTCTGATTCGGATATGGTTTCGTGATTATTAGTTATTCACGGCACTTGCCACTTGCACTATCTATTTAATTAGGAGCTTCCCTGGGCGTTACCTCTTCCTTATCCGGCATTTCCACTTAATCGAATGAACACAATCGGAAAGTCTCTTGGATCTTCGCGGACTTCGTACACTCGCGATATCTGGGGATATATTTAAACGTCTATGTCTATCCACTTATCCACTTGATAGCCCGCTTCTGTGCGTCTGCTTCCAACTGTTGCTTATTCTGCGCGTCACAATTCTGACTCCTGCCAATGTGCCAATGGGATGGGATGGAGGAAGTGGAGTGTAGACTTGACCGGATCCGGGTTTTGTACTTAGCGCGACCAGTTCGCCGTTTCGTTTTGTATTGGAGACGCGCGCGTTTTCTCGCTTTTCCTGTCTGTCATCCGCTGGCGGCGCGTTGCTTTTCCATTCTGAATCGCGATTCTGATTCCGATTCCACTGGCGGAGAGCTTTTCCCAGTCCCAGTAACACCCGAGCCAGCGAATAAGGCAGAGACAGGGACTTCGATAGCGACAGCGACTGAGACACAGAGATAGAGAGAGAATGCGAAAGAGCAATCGCGCTTTCCGTGCTTGCATTTCAGAATCATATTAATTTATATTAGCACTCGGTTTGCTATTGTTTTTCCAACAGCAATGCAGCTGTAGAACAACAATAAAAGCTCTATCGGGGTGGTGTGATGTGTGGCATAAACAACATAAATTTGATAATAGAACTGCCTTCGCGGAAGCAACTTCGGGCTGAGGAAACTCAAGGTGTCTTATCATCGCGCCCACTCACACGTGCATTTAGGGCGGCAAGGTCACGGCGTTCGTGTTTGATTGTGTGCGTCAAGTGGTTGTGGAAACTGTCGAATTTCCCTTGCGCTCATTCAATTTTCAGCTGTTTGCATACGTGAAGGGAGAGCCATCACAAATATTGCTCATACGTGGTGCCATTTCTCTGCCGACTCTTGGCCAGCGGACACGTGAATGAAGCATGTTGGGCGGGGGACTCTATAATTAGACTGCGAGCGGGAAAGCTAAAGCGGAAAAATTGTGCCATTTTATCAAAGGAGCAGTCTGTGGCCTCTCTCCTCGGAGGCGTGCTTCCTTCAACCGGATTTGGAGGAGGGTTTTCATTAAGTGAAATGAACAATTTCTGGAAGCGAAGCACGAACAGACAGACGTTGTCATGAAGGTTAGCCAAATGTCAGGACAGCTCGGAATGGTATGGGTGTCTCTTTTATGGCGCGCCACGCACACCCTCGAGGACTCCCGCCAGACACAGCCACAGAAAGAATGATGGGCGACTGTAAAGGCACTTCCACTTCCTTGTTGTCACGTAGAAGCTGTTCTTCAGAGCGAGAGGACTGCAGCCTGTGATGGCTTCAGCTGTTATCAGTGTATGGCTGTCCATCGCGTATTTCATTCTCATTTTCCATCCCTCACACAAACATACACACGCACTCACATTCATTCGTTCGCTTTCCAACTGCCCACCACCCACACTATTTATACATGGTTTTCCTACTGCCGACGCTTTTCCTTTTCCTGCCAAGCTGCTCGCGTATTTTTAGACCCCGGTAGGCACCTAATCCCCGGCTCTGGCTTTTCCATTTCCTTTGTGTTTTCCCATTGCGTGGAAGAAGTAATTAAGGCGTAAACTGGCGCACACTCGAGGCATGGACCTTAAGCCGCCTCTTCAGTGCACTTACTTCTTGGCATTGTGCGGCTGGCGGTGCGGGGATCCAATTAAGCGCATCTGGGATGTGCATTCGCATTATTACCGATGGGGGATGGCCTGCGATAGGGTTTTTTGGCGGGACAGTCGCTGATTTTTGGCGTTTCGAAGCCGCACTCACAGACGATGGCAGCTGGTGGGTTGCTCTTTTATCGATTTTTACGCACAAGCAAATGTCTGTTATTCTTTTGAGGAATTACAACCACAGTTTACAGGCTAACACTTAAAATAAATATTGAAATGGTTCGCAAAACGGATCCAGCTATAGCCGACGGTTGGATGGATGGTTGGAAGACAGCTGCAGCTGCAATGGGAGGAAAACCGTGATAGCCCTGCCGAACGGGAATTTGAACTGTGAAAACTCGGAAAATGTTTAAGAAAAACTAACACTGCGCCACCTGTTGCTAGCTTTAGGTACATCATATATGTAAGTGGCGCCCGCCTTGAACTAAAAATCGCGCTGCCAACCAACTACCTCAACATCCAAAGCTTTGAAAGTTTCATAGCAGCCATCTATAAGAGTTTCATGAATAAAACTTAAATTAAATTAAAATAAATATTTTGTTGCCTGGCATTAGAGCGCAGGGCAAGCGCCCTTGTTTCAATTTTTGGGGGTGCCAATATCCAAATGAATCATTTTGAAACCTTCAGGAAAAATACTTGTTGTTTAATTAAAAGGTATAGCATTTTATGATGATTCTTATTTTACCAACAGGTTATTGCGGATTTAGTTAGCAATAGTCAGACACTACCGAGAAGCATCTGCAGTAGGTTGCGCTGGGGATCTGCTGCCACAGGCCTGACAACATATTAATAATTATAGATAGTAACGAACGAAAGAGTAAGCCACAATTGTAAATCACATTGGGTTCTTAAGAGAAAACGAAACGCAAAAGCTGGTAGTACATCAAATTAAACAACAAATGCCGCCGAGTGCTCTAAATAGTTGGATGTTAGAAGTCCCTGATCCTGGGACTGGGATCAGCTGCATGCAAAAATACATCCCCTCTGTAGTCCGAAAATATGTATCTCTGTCTCTCTATATACCGTCTATGGTTAATCACTGTTTGAATTCGCTTTCCTCCTGCGGAAGTCCCTGGGGATTCCATTGGGTTCCATGGGACAACTGAAATTGTGAGCTTTTGCTGGTGATGTTAGATCTATGAGGTGAGGGTCCCCCACCGCAATTGCTAAATTAGCTTTGCTGCCTCGCTGGGCGACTATCTGCGCAGATCGATGACCTTGATCTTCGTGTAAGCATCCTTCTGGATGTGCTGCGCCTCCATGAACAGGGGTGGGTCGTTCGGGTGGGGGTGGAAGCCCGATTGCCGGCACTGGGCGATGTAGTCCAATCCGTAGTGGGGCGTGAGTATAAAGAAACCAGTGCTGAGCGTGAAACGAAAGAATAGATAAGAAATGTTTTCCCCGATGAGTCAGCGATGACTCACGTGTTGTATTTGGGCGCACACACGATGGCCAGGGCCTCCGGCATCATCATCTGGTAGGAACAGTGCGTGTGCAAGTCCACGGAGGACAGGAAAGCGGTCTGGCTGGGATGAGTCTGTAAGGGAACCGCAAAATCAGAGACTCGAAAGAGACTACACAGTAGAGGCTACACACATGGATCCAGCCGAGCGTGATGAGCTGCATCTGATCCTGCACATCGAATATCTGCTCTTCGTGCATAGTGTTGCAACTGTCGGGCGTGCCCTGTTGCTGCGGCGTGATGATGTGCGTGATGTAGAGCTGGTTCTGGGCCAGATGACCAGCGAGCACTCCGCACGTCTCGATGTTGTTGGAGGTGTTTGCCTTCGCTAGCTGCAGAAACACCTCCATGGTGTCGCCAGGTACGTGGACGATACGCAATGAACCGGCAAGCAAGGAATCGGTGCGGTTGTACGACGGCTTCTGGTTTCGGTCGAAGTTGGGCTTTGAGCTGAAAGAGCTGTAAGTATGAGCGGCAAAGACTGGAAACAGCTCATTTCTCTCGAACTCACTTGGATGTCTTGTCGAAGGCCGCGTCTGCCGCTGGGAGCAGCAGCCCAGAGCCCGGTAGGTTGGTGCGATTGGCTCCTGTGGGAAAGTCGTTCGGATAGACAACCTGGTCCAACAGGCCGAGATCCGGGGCCGAGGGCTGGTTACCCTCGTCAATCAGCACGTGCAGATTGGCCGGGATGATCGAGGGTATGCTGCTGGAGCCCGCCACCTGCCGACTGGCCAGCTCCCTCTGGCGTTGCCGCTCCCGTTCGCGCTCCCGCTCCAGCTCCTTGACACGCTCCGCTTCTTTGTTGGCTAGGAACTGCTGGTACTCGCGTTGGTAGTGGGCCAACAGTTGGGCGCGCAGCTTCTCCGTTGTAGGCATTATCTCGTCCTTGATGCGCTTGTTAATGTCCCTCACCTCGGCCTTGACGTTGCCATAGTCCGGGTGCTGGCGAATCTTCTCGATGAAAAGGGTCATGTAGCGCAAGTACAAGATGAAGGCATTCTCGTGGTTGCCCTCTTGCAGATACACGTTCGCCATGCGCAGCATTTCCGTGCCCGAGCGGTAGTAGCTGCAACGAAGGGCATTTGCCAATTAGCAAGGACACACACTGGGAACATCCTTCAAAGGAAAATGTGCACTCAAGGTCCCACTGTGACATTGAGACGCCTCGACTGTTATGGCCTTGAGCCTCCTGCCTGGAGTCCAGACTTACCGCGTCACAGGCTGGTTCTTGTCCACTTCGATGAGGTTTCCGCAGTGCGACAGGTGCTTCATCCGCTCCTGTGGCTCCACAACCCCCATGCTCATGTTGTTCACAGCCTTAGACATGGCGTATGTTTATCCTACTGCTGCTTTTGGTCGCCTGGTTTAGCTGCTTTTTACGGGTTAGTTGGTGCCCGGACTTTGTGGCTTCCCACTAGCAAGGATTGTCTGTCCGTCCACGTTGGTCCAGAGCTCGACTCCTTGGGGCTTTTCTTGGATTGTACAAGAATTACTCACTCACGGCGTCCACGGGAACCAAATCGGGCTGCCAAACAAATGTATATTAAATTATATAATATAAAAACTGCCATTTAGTTGTTCTCCATTTGAAAATTTAAAATAAACTAACCCTTATTGGGAATTAAAAGTTTAATGCATAAGGTAAACGAATTGGAATCTAATTGGAATAAAAATCAAATTGAGCTCATTTTTGAACTTAAAAATGAGTCGAATTAATGTCAAACAGCTGATGATGAAATGTACCATTATATACCGTAAATATAGTTTCAACTAAATTTCGACGTAAAAAATACCAAAAAGTACCTAATACAGTGCCAGTTACAACGAAAACGTACCAGCAGTAGTACATATTTTAAGTGAGAGCTCCCACATGTTTGTAGAGATATCTCAGTTTTGCTGGGAGTTCATTTGCACGATAATACGTGTGCACACATATGTACATTGAAGTCCGCTGTAACCTCAAAACACAAAACACTCTTTATCTCTCTTCGCAGCAAAGTTAGCAAAGTCTACCCCACCAATAACATGTATACAATGGTAGACAGACTGAGGTTAGTGGGCGGGACTTTTTGAATTTGAATTAAGGAGATTAATAGTGTTACTTTTAATAATATTGCTTATGGAGCTAATGGATATTTTAATCGGGATTATCGTGCTGGGATTAAATAATTACTCTTTTAGAACTTCTGAGCCTGCGCTAATCTGTAGTGTGTCGCATTGGAGAAACCTAATCCGTATCGCTATCGCGGGACATAAAACATGGCTAATCTGAAACTCTGCGATATGGCCAACTATCAGTTGTTATTTTTAAAGGCTCACATTTGGGTGGCCAAGCTGTGGCCGCTGCATGCATTCAGTAGCAGTGCGTAGCTCAGACCTAAAGGAAGGGAGGCAGCAGACTACCTGGGGTAAGCTAATGTCAACCAATTTTTAGTGCAAATACTTAATCCGGGGCTAAACAGAAGCTGAGAACAATAAAAAAAAAAACCAATTCTTGGTTCCAGGGGGTCAAAGTTCGTACTTGTTTACTCAAGCACATCAGCACTAAGTGGGAACCCAATCTATTGCCTCTGATCTGCAAAAACTAAGTTAGAGTGCGATATGATAAGCTATCGGCGGATTATTTAAGGCTTTCATTCAGATTGGGTACAATCAACAGTGTGGGTCGTAATACTAGACCCACTCGAAGATCACAAAGCGAGAGAGAGAGCCACTTAGATTGAGTGACTGACCAACTGAGAAACTGACTCATGGATCGCACGTACACGGCAACAAAGACCCGAAAAATCCATTCAAATAATGGGAGGGAAAACGAGGTTCAGCTCGAGCTCGGGCTCCCAGTGGGCTTCCAGTCGAAGCACAGCTTTGGCGCATAGCGGGCGTCATTTCAAGAGATCTTCACTCTCCACAGTTCAGCTCTTGTCGGCTTTGGAAGGGGGCCATCGAGAGTGTCGCGTTTGCATGGGTGCCGTGGAAAGATAAACAGATACTACATCGAGTTCGGTCGTTCGGTAGTTCGTTCGGCGTGTTTTGAAATCAGTTTTTCGAATCGACAAGTCTCAAACAAGTGCCATTGCAGTGCAGCGGGAAATGCTTTGAAATTCCCACAGATAATCGCTCTAATTTGCCATTAATTGGGTGCCACGAGTGTGATAAGCCCTCGACATTAATTAAAGTAATTCGGACTGGAATTAGTCTAGTTTGACGACTGGTCTGTCAGTGTTCAATCAGAGTATTGAGTGCCAGTGTGTCAGATGGGCTCAAGCTGGCCTAAAGGAGTCGATTGCATAATATAATCCACGGAAACGAGTTCAAATTGAGTGCAGGCAACCTCCAAGATACAGATACATACATACATACAGAGATACCTACATATATACATATGTCTATATGCGAACGGTATAAAGTGCGAAGTGTATAAAAGGCTCATCAACCGAAATCTTCTGTAATTTGCTCAATTGGCGTGTTTGTCCGCCGTTGATCAGCGTTTGGCGTCGTTTAGCCAAGAGATACTTTTGTATCTGGCTGAGCATCAGCCGCAGCAGCAGCCGCAGCACCAGCAGCAGTCGCTGCCTCTCTTTCTCTCTGTGTAAGTGTGTGCCGGCTGCCATTTCATTACAAAAGTATTGCAAAAGTATCTGAAGCATACGCATCCGAATCGAAACCAAGACCAGGCGCAGACTGACTGACCGACCGACCGCCACAGAAAGATACGTGTTTACGATCCCAATTGTATCTCTATCTTGTGCGAAGGCCCTGCAGCTGTGATCGCTGTGTTGTCGGCGGACGGTGCCAGTGCCAGCCAGCATATTTATTTTATTATAATTTCGATTTCAATGTCAGGCCTGTGTTGTGCGTCCATTATGCAGAGTGTCCGTCCCATAGGGAGGTCGGTGGAGAGAGGGACCAACACTGCTTTACATGCGCGACAATTACTCACTCGATTTCCCACTTAACGCCTTCTCTGAGAGAGAGGGAGAGGTTCTATTTGTTATTTGGTACACCCGCTGCATACAAAAGAACTCGATTCATCAGCGAAAAGTTAAACAAAAGTCAGCGGAAAACATGAAACAGGCATTCTCATGAACACCGAAGCTGCAGGTACTCTTTCTCTTGTAGAAAGATCGGAAAGTGCAACAGTGCCTCGAAATACCCCTCGAAGAATCGGATTTAATCACAATACGCTCCGCAAGAGCATAACAAAGGGGCAAGCAGTGTGAGTGCGGGTCTGCGGGGTATCGGAAAACCCAAACTACTTTTGATTTCAAAAGTACTTGCTATCCAGCATGTACACTATCCACCAGCAGAGTCGGCAGTTGGAGGAGTTCAGTCCGCCACTGAATAGCCGCAGTCCGCGACTTTCGCAAGCTGATAAAAACCGGTTCCCGATCTTTGAGCGAATCTCCAGCTGATAAGGCGGCTTCCGAGCTGCGGCTTTGCTTTTGTTATTACTATGTGTATTGTTATTTGTTATTGTTTTTATTATTGGGGGATCGACATGCACATTTACATTGACGCGTCTGCTGGAGGTCGTACCAGAGTCCAAGCGATTACGAATACCCCATTGAAATTTGCATTGGCTCGCTATATCCAATTGATAGATGATGGTCGTCGCGTGGAATTGGTTTGGATGGGTGCCTGAGTGCTCCGTTCGCTGCTGTCATTCGATTATCGGTTGCCGTTGCCTCATAATCACTTTGTTGCAAATATTTGCAATCTACTCGAGGGGCTGCCAGATGTGGGTTAATTTTTTTCTATGTGTCTCATGAAGGACATCCCAGAGAGCTACAGAACGCAGCTTTAATCTTTCTACAAATCAATCCAACTTTTGTATGCCTTTGCAGACCAAAGTTCATCGCTGTTAATTCTACGATGGCCATATCCAAGATTGCCTTTTTGGCTCTTATAGCCCTCGGCGGGCTCTGTGGCCTGGCCAGTGCCACCTACAAAGTGGGCGTGGGGCGGGCAGACATCACCGGACCCCCAGTGGAGATCAACTTTGTAAGTGGCTCGAATGCGGAAGGTAGCCGGAAGCACTTAGCTCTACTCCCTCACTCCCTCCTTCTACAGATGGGCTATGCGAACATCAAGCAAGTGGGGCGTGGCATCCACACCCGCGTCTTTGCCCGTGCCTTCGTGGTGGAGGACGAGAAGGGCAACCGGGTGGCCTTCGTCAGCGCAGACGCGGGCATGATGGGCTACGGCCTGAAGCGGGAGGTGATCAAGAGGCTTCAGGCCCGCTACGGGAACCTCTACCACACGGACAACGTGGCGATCAGTGGCACCCACACGCACGGAGCGCCCGGAGGATTCCTGATGCATCTGCTCTACGACATTTCTATTCTGGGCTTCGTCCCACAGACCTTTGAGGTGATGGCCCAGGGCCTTTATTTGGTAAGCACAAAGAATCGAATCAAATGATATATCAATATGATATTTTCGTTGTTTTTAATGTAAAGTGCATCAAACGAGCCACTGACAACCTGGTGGATGGACGCGTCTTCCTTTCGAAGACCACCGTCCTGAACGTAAACATAAACCGCTCCCCGTCGTCGTATCTGCGCAATCCGGAGGAGGAGAGGGCCCAGTACGAGCACGACACGGACAAGACTCTGACGCAGCTGCGTTTCGTGGATGTGGAGAACAATTTGCTGGGCGCCTTCAACTGGTACGCGGTGCATGCCACCTCCATGAACAACACCAACAAGCTAGTGACCAGCGACAACGTCGGATACGCCGCCCTGCTCCTGGAAAAGGAGTACAACCCGAACAAGATGCCGGGCAAGGGCAAATTCGTGGGCGCCTTCTGCTCTTCCAACCTGGGGGATGTGTCGCCCAACATCATGGGACCCAAGTGTTCCATCTCGGGTAATGAGTGCGATCTGCTCACTTCCCGCTGCCCCGCCGGCGAGGGAGAATGCTTCGCCTCCGGCCCAGGCCGGGACATGGTGGAGAGCACCCAGATCGTGGGCCAGCGGCTGGCGGACGCCGCTCTTGGTCTGCTGAATGAGCAGAGCCAGGAGTCGACGGCCCGCGAGGTCACCGGTGACGTGCGCTTCATCCACCAGTTCGTGGACATGCCCAACTACAACGGCAGCGCCTACAACCCGCTAAGCCGGAAGATCGACAAGATCCGGGGCTGCCAGCCGGCTATGGGCTACAGCTTTGCTGCCGGCACCACCGACGGCCCCGGCGCCTTCAGCTTCGAGCAGGGAACAACCACAGACAATCCCATGTGGAATTTCGTGCGCGACTTTATTGCCACTCCCACCCAGGAGGACATCAAGTGCCACGAGCCGAAGCCCATTCTTCTGGCCACCGGAAGGGTGAGTATCCGAAGGGATATAGCTGTGATTCGTGCTAATGAACACTCCTCCTTCTAGGCCACCTTCCCGTACGAGTGGCAGCCGAAGATCGTGTCCGACCAGCTTCTGAAGATCGGAGACGTGATCATCGCCGCCGTTCCATGCGAGTTCACGACCATGGCTGGACGGCGCCTGCGCAACCAAATCCGGGCTGCAGCGTCCGCCGTCGGAGGCCTGGACACTGAAGTGATCATCGCCGGGCTGACCAACATCTACACCAGCTACACGGTGACCCCCGAGGAGTACCAGGCTCAGAGATACGAGGCCGCCTCCACGATCTTCGGCCCACACACGCACTCCATCTACATGGACGTGTTCGAGCGCCTGACCAAGGCCCTGATGCGAAACGAGACGGTGGAGCCGGGCCCCAGTCCGCCCTACATGAACGACGTGATGCTGTCCCTCAACACGGGCGTGCTCTTCGATGGACATCCGATCAACACGGACTTTGGCTACGTGAAGACGCAGCCCGGAAAGGAGTACGGAATCAATGACACCGTCAAGGTCACCTACATCTCCGGCAATCCGCGCAACAACCTCTTCACCGAAAAAACCTACTTCACCGTAGAGCGAAAGATCAATGAGGACCGCTGGAAGGTGGCCTACACGGACGCCAGCTGGGAGACCAAGTGAGTATTTCCACACTCTGCAGAGGGGAAACCATCTCCACCATCTCGTATCATTTTGCAGGATGATCTGGCACCGCACCAACACGATTTTGGGATTCAGCGAGCTGGAAATCTACTGGAACATCAGCCCGCAAACGCTTCCTGGGGTTTACCGCATCCGGCATTCGGGCGAGTACAAGTACATCCTCGGCGGAAAGTATCCATACGAGGGCCTCTCGCACTCCTTCACCGTCAAGGAGGACTAATCCGTGCCGGAGTGGGTCGATAATTATGTATTCCTGGATTCTAGACGAGCATTCGAATCGCCATTCTGGCGAATCCATGTATTTATTTACCATTTATAAGTGACGGAGTGAAGGAAAAGCTTTATTTTTGCAACTGCGAATAAAAAGGATGCCAAATTTTGTTGAAACTAAACAAATCGAAGGCTTGGGTTGATGCTCTTGCAGTGAATTGTACTTGACAGTTAGTTGCTGCATATAGAAGATACATTTACTCGTTGCGTATCCCGAAAGAAACAAGAACTTGTATAATGAAACTCATAAATACTTAGTTCTCTATCCGCTGAATACTTTTTCGATGCATCATTTGAATCGTCCGGCCAAAAGAGAGGTATATTCAAGGACATAAGGTATGGACAAATTTCGCTTTCTCACATCAGGGTTGGGAGTCAAAATACAATTTACAACTAAAAAGATGCGAGAGGCCTCTGAAGAGACCAGGAAGAAACCACTTTAAAAAAAACGAGCGAATGGTCAGATGAAAAGACTGATAAAGCAAACCAGCAGACCTCAGTTAAATTGTTAAAAAATGTGTTGGAAATTGTGGCTTTCATGTACAACTAAAGCATCATCATAATTATGCGATAGAACAAATCAATGTGTAATAAGAGAATGGTTAAATATCGTTCTTTAATTGGATATGGTACACATTTGGTTGCAAATACAATCCATGAATACAATATATATATATTCTTGCAGGACAGCTAATCAAAAGCAATACCCAAAAGTGTACGCGCGTTAAGAAAAAATATATAAATCAGTTTTAAACATGTTCAAATGCTTAGCATGTTATAAATAAGGCAAATTAAATCTCCGGTCAGATATCAGATGTATCATCATGCCACGTTCCCTCATTGTAGTAACCCACGCACTTGGGGCATTTCTTCAGAAATTCTGGCGGACAGTTGGGACTGCAAGAGGCGAAATAGCAGCGCACGCTTCTCAGAATATCGGGCAATGCCTGCGATACTTCCTTGTAGTCCAAGCTCGAATGGCGTTTCAGTGTGTGCAGAATGATCTGATAGAGCACCGATTCCGTGGGTAAGTGGTACTTGATCCAAAACTCCTTTCTGGTAGTTTCCCCAAAGGTCTGCGTCATTTTGAGCATCAGCTTGCACATGTCCGGCTCCCAGTGCTCGGCAATGCTGGTGATAAGATTCTCGAAACTCTCCGCGTTTGAGATGTGCTCAATGATAGCCTCTCCGTAATCTGCCAATTGAATTTCCTGACCCTTGATGTTGATTGAACGGATCTGCAGCTGATTTGGTGGCACCTTACTTGGTTCAGCGGGTAATTTCGGTTCCCTTATGCAGCTACCAGTTCCACGGGTTTTCAATAGGTTTTGGAGCTCCTTTTTTGTGGGCACCACATTGGCGCTGCGTATGAGGTCCAGTCTGCCTTTAGTGGTCGCCTCCATGGCCTCTTCAGAGATCTTGTCAAAGGTGTTCCTGCAACAACCATGTCATTAGGCTGTCTAGTCTGTATATATAGCTACCTTACTGTACGTGGCTGCTCAAGCTGGTGCGATAAGTGGCATTGCGAACCATTTGAGACGCCAGGCGAAAGTTATTGACGCTGTGCGTGAACAGAACCAACGACTCGGAGAGGAGCCTCGCATTGAGATTATCGACCTTCTGGCCATCAAGACGCTTCTGAGGGAGACCAAAAAAAGATGTTGCATGCATATGTACATATGTATGTACAAGATGCCTACGATCTTGCTTACGATTCCTACCAGAAGCAGATATAGCACTTTATCGCTCGCTCTTATATGGTCTAATTCATTTACGCGCAATATACATCTAGCGGTCTGTTCCGAGTAAATCCGATGTAGTTCAGGCGATTCCAAGGCTGCCGTCAGACCTTCAGACGTTAAGTAGCAATCATTCCGTGGGGAAAATCCTGCAATCCATTCCGATGGGGAGCGTCCCTCCTTTATCAAGTATGTTTTCAGCTCAACCTGGCCATCGATCAGCTTGTAGACGCCTCGATCACAGGTTACCATAACCCCTGCGGGCAGAGCCGTTTGCTTTAAGTATGTATCCCAGTCATTATAAACGCCACTTTGATCCACATAGATCATGCAACAGTCCCGGCTGCGGCTCCTCCCTTCGCCCCTGTCGGCTGAAAGTCAAATAATGATAAATGTATGTACTTATAAGACAAACTTGAAGGAGCTTCAATGTAGTACCAACGCAGCGACGGCAGCGGAAAACTGGATGGAGCGACCAGGATCTGTTCGTCTCCGCTAGCTTCGGTTCAGTCACGCCCTTCACAATCACCACAAAGAAAAGCGCAGAAAGGGACTGGCCATTGGTGTATTTACCTGAGGGTATGTAGGTATGTATGTAGACGGAAAGCGATCAGAGACGGAACTGCTGTTTTGCAGCAGTTTGCATAGCCAATCTGAGATGTACCAAACTGATGATTAAATATCTCCCCAATCTTGCATTTCAGGATGTCTTTTTGGTTTTGCATCAATCTGTCAGGGATCGGCAATCTATAGATTTTAAGTGGAGCTAAGATGGAAATTGTGCGGCCACTCACAGATCCCAGGTGATGTCCTCGCCATGGCTGAGAATCTCTGCAAATACCTGCTGCACTTCCCGGGCGGTGAGATTCAGTGGTTCAGCCATCCTGTTGTATCACATTTAAATTTAATTTTACTTTTTATTTTTTATTGCATTGCTGCACCCACTTTTTCTTATCAGCTGCAGCGATATATGTATGGATGCGTCGATATATATTGATATGTCAGTACAATCTACTACACTAAACTGGAATCGTGTAGCTTTAGTCTGAAACAGTATGATACATTTGTGTTAGTGTTGGTGATTTGTTGGTTCACCGACAAGTGCAGACGATTCATATACAATAAGTTATAGCTTTAATTCGGGTACCGACTATAGAAGAACGAAAGAAGAACTTGTAGAAAGAAAAATGTATATACATATATGGTTCTCTATCCGCTGAATTCTTTCTCCGATACTCATACTAAATTTGAATCGCCCGCGAACATTTCAGTCTAATTTCCAGCAGCATGTGGCCGAGCTCATACGTGAAACGCAAAATTGAGTCGGGAGAGAGTAAAATGCTCTCCTTATGTTCTCTTTCATACAAAAGCTTGTTTGGTTTGAAATGTAGAAGTCGGGAATTTATATATACATATAGAGTCTATAGCATAGCTGCTTTAGTTCAGTTTACACCCACCACCCACCGAAGAATAAACCGACACAAAAGAAGTCGGCGCGCATTAAACCAAAGAGAAATAAAACATAAAAAATGCATTTTTAAGAAACGAAACAAAAATTAAACCAGGAGTGACTGAAAAGTATATAGAAGATTCGAGAGGAGGACTGTGTGTGCGTGTGTGTGGTCCGGGTGCATTTATTTTGTGTAGTTTAAGTGCGTGCGCGGTGGGCGATAAAATACGTGAAAAGGTATCTGTGAGATATGCAATCGTGGTGTTCCCTACACAAATCGACAGCGGTGTGAGGGGGGCAGTGTGAAGGTGAACAGTGCAAGAGTGGACAGCAGAACCACATCCACTCAGGTGTCTGTCCTTGAAGACGGAGAAGAAAGAACCACAGCAACAAGTCAAGAGGAAACCGAATTTGGGTGAGTACGGGTGAACGTACGCGATTCATCCACTGACCACCATCCATCAGATACATTGCCCAAAATTAATTAATAGAAATGGTCGCTGGGGCTGACGTGTCTTGTCCCGCTTCCGCCTTGCAGTGATAACAGAATTGTAGGGAGGGATCGTCATGGAGCTGATATGCCATACAGAATCTGGGGCAGCAAAATTGAATTCGATTTTGATTAGAAAGAAATGTTCTCTATTTAGAATATGAAATGTGATTTTTCATCATTTAAGTAGAGAGCATGTATGTACATGTTCTATATGATATATACATACATATGTACACATATAGACCCATGAATGTATTTGTGCGTGTATGCACTTGTTGTCACCACATGGAAGACATTCAATTGTCAGAGTGACCGCTCTCTCCTCCTCCTATCATCACCGCTGGCGATAAGCGGCATACATATATATATCTGGACTCGAAAATGTCTATATAGGCATAGACTTCTATATGTTTGCTTCTGTGTGCGTGTGTTTATAAAAAGGCCGGGAATCGGGGGAATTCGAGAAGGAAGCTGCTTCGGTCACGTAGTCAATTGTTGGCGTTTGTTTTGGTTTTGTTTTCCTCTCTTCTGCATTTGCGTTCTCTCTCTGTTTCGCTGGAAAGGCCAAGAAATCCACCCTCGTGACGGAAAGGGATTCAGATTCCGTAGGGGAACTAGTACAGGTACAGGAACAGGAACTGTAAGGAACCTGGAACTGGTTCAATGCGCATGCCTTGCCAACCATCCCGAATATCCTTTCCCCATGTGTCCTGTGTCTCCGCTTAGCCAGGACACAACCCCTCGCATTTAAAATAAACTTTTCGATTCCAATTTGAATCATTTCTCCCCACTCGACTATCGACTGCCGATTCTGCACGAACTAGCGGCTGGTTCTGATGATAAATTATGGAATTCTCTGTTTTTGCCGCACAATCGCAGAGCGGCTCCTATAGCTTCAATTAACTTGCGATTTGTTTTAATTAATGAGTTTCACAGACTAAATTACGCTCGTTCGTCGGATCAAATCGGATCGCCACTTGGCCAATATTTGGTTGCTAATTAGTCGAGCAATGAGAGTTGTCCGTTAACCGGTTACTCATTTTGCAAATGCTGTAGATAGAGGTGGATCCATCTCCTCCCAGTCCCACTCCATATCTGCTGATAATTTGAAAACGAAAGTCACTCGCTGTCCAAATACTGATACACACATATGCATGTATGTATGTACTTGTTTAGGGGGAATGGGAATGCAATGAAAGTGTTGACTACTTATCGAATGGGGCTCCGGCTCCCACTGGCCCACTTCCCTGCTGTCTGGCCAAGTGCCGTGCCCCCTTCCACTTTCCACGACTCCCTCCCGAGGCTCGAGCTCATCTTTGTATCTGGCTTTTTTATGAACACTTTGGACCGGTTTGCGCTGCCGTTTTCATTTATGCTCACATTTCAAGGTGAATTGTAATATTTATGTGTGCACACGCTCCACTCCATGACGACACCTGTCTGGCATCTGGCATGGGGATCCGGAGGGGGAGGGAACTGGGATTGGGTCCCCGAACATTTGTCATTCATTGCTAATTAGAAAACTCGTTGAATGCACTTGAAAAGCTCTCGCTCTCCCCGGATCCTTGCTTCCATGCTTCCTGCCGCCCCAATTGAATCTTTAATGCGAATGGGACGCCATTTTCCCCACCCATGGGGGACGGGTATGGGTATGGGTAGGGGTTTGGGTCTCTTTTCCATAAAAGTTCAGCGCAATCAAATTAACGCTTATGGAATTGAAAAGTTTTTCCTACACTCTGCTGTTCTCTATATAGATACATACATAGATAGATAGACTCGTCCTCGTCCTCGTAGAAGTGGAACTTTTGCCTGCAGCTGACAAATCACATTACCCTTGGGTGACTGACTGTCGGTGGTCGGAGTCTGGATGGGATGGGATCTGACCTCAAACTGCGTTGGCAACATGTGGCAAGGCTAACCGAATTACACTTAACCGAATTGTTTGCATAATATTCACAGAATTAGGCGGTTAAGCGGGGATAGGACATCCCTAGACAGAGAAGGCGTATCTCAATACATGGATGAAATCATTGAGATTTTGTATGCATTCAGATAAGGGCAATGTCTAAGGATCCAACCCACTGCTATGGCGCAAGAGACCCTCATTCATGTTAGGGCAGATCCAAGACTGGAGCTTGATAATGACGATAATGTGATGTGGTTATTGACGAGACGAGACGAGGCGCGTCTAACGAGCCCATTAAGTCACTGAATTAAAAGAAAAACTCGGCATCAAATTACAGTGTAGAAGAGACCGAAACTCAGCAAATCTGAGGACTGAGCACTGCCGTCAATTCGTTTTTAATTATGCATTCGATCAGGCAAATTGGCCAAATCGAGTTTTGGGGAGTTAAACTCAGTCGTACGCGGAGGAAGCCGTACCCAAATTCGAATTCCGAATGGGCAAATGTCACAGCAGCCAACGAAACGAAGCAGAGGAGTAATGGAAGTATGGCTAAGGTTAGTCCGGGGTCTGACCTTTAGCAGACAGACACTAAAGGGGGAGCAGTTCGGCGACTTCGTGCCACATTAACAGCCACTAGCCCAGAGTAAGCGGAGTCTCCACAATTCTCACAGTGCCAGGGTGGCAGAGTGTGGGCCATGTGGGCCAGCTCCCAATTCGATGCGGATGCATAGTTTTGTGTCTTTTTTGGTGGCTCATAAATGTTGGTGGCTTCTAGTTGCTGTTTCTGCTGCTGCTTTTGAGTTATGACAATGGCCCCGGTCATCTCAGAAGCTACCTTCGCTGGTCATAAAATTGATGGACGACATTGTGTGGGCCAAGCGAGGCGGACCAGACGGATGTGAGAGGCTTGGGTTTGCTGTGGGGAGAGGGGGAGAAGGCACCTGCCTGCCTACCAGTCGGCCTTGCCGGAGCATTCCGAACTCGAACATGCCAGTGTCCTGTGGCACTTGCACCTGAATAATGATGTCGGGCTGTTCAAATTGTCCCGTTGCACTTTTATAGAATTTCCGCCGCCTGTCGACAGTTTCATTTGAGTGGGAGGAAGGAAAAGCGACGGTGGAGACAACAGCAGAGGCAACAGGGAAATATGCTTTTCACGATAAGCAGGGGACCATTGTGACATGCACAGTGGATGCTCCCAGAAGTGGACAAATGTTCCATCCACCCACACCCAGTACAGAGCACACACCCACAAGGAATGGATCCCATACCATACAATGCTCCCGATTCAGGTCAGCGTTTGACACTTTTTTACTGTGGCTTACTGTGGATGCGGCAACGAGGACACTGTTTTTTTGTTGCAAGGTGACAGTTAGAGAAAGGGGAGGTACACTGCGGAAAAATGTAAGTCTAACTTGTGGAATAAAGCCTTTATATTGGCCTTGCCGAATCCCACTCAATTTATATATATGTACATATGTGCAGAACTCGATTCTAGATCCCACTTTTGTTTCGCTCAGTGAAGGAAGGGTTTACAGAGTCGCTTGTCGCCCTGTCAGAGTAGTGGCAATTGTTGCTGACGGGGCTGGATAGTGTTCGTTCGTTGGCACCTACCACAAACGTATCTGAATATCTGTATCTACCATATCCATATGCACGTTCGTACATACATATGTACATACATACATACCTGCTGTCGGCAAACCAAGCAACCCATCGTTCCACCCATCCTCAGTCAGTCAGTCAGTCAGTCAGGCAGTGGGTCGAGCTTAGTCAGCGATTTGCACAAAATATTTCATAACTTAATTGCCGCACGATAACAAAGTTGTGGAAAAAAAAGCTAAAAATTCATTTACTTACGTTTCCTTCTGTGAAAAAGTGCAATCGAAAAAAAAATAACAAAAAAATGGTGGAAAAACAGAAGAGTCTACCGCAAGTAATCAAAATTGTTTTTGTGTTGCATAAAGCTGACGCATTGCCCAGGCCAGGCAGAAACCAGGCAGAAGCGAGCCAGAAAACTGCAACACGCAAGCCAGAAAGCCAGAAATTGATGAGGCAGCTTTTTTTGAGGGCGGACTGTGAAAAATGGGCGTGGGCATTGTGAAAAGTGCAATCCGATGATGAAAGTCCATTTTGGTATGCCCCAATCCACAATGCACTTCGGTCTGCAGAAAACTGGGCACAAAAGAGGCAGGAGGGAGGTGTAGAAGATGAGGCATGATTTGATTGCAAAGATGGTTAAAGGCACGGGATTCTACAGGAGACACTCACCATTCCAAATCGAGGCTCACATAACATTTTCCAGGTTCGACAGGGAGTGATTCGTGCTTAGTAAAATGTTTCCATGTTATTTTTACCATTTAAATATAATAAATATCTCTGGATGCAGCCAATTTGGCTTTGAGCATCCTATTCGCATCGGATGTAGCTACCAATTACGAGTATACAAACCGAGTCAATGTCACTTATACATACTTTAATTTCCCACATCCCAAAGTTAAATCCATCAATTTCCACACTTTTACCGACCAGTCGCACTTTTTAATTTTCTACCAATTAGTGAATTGAAATCCAATTTCGACTCCTGATGTGTATCCTCTGACATTTCTGGATGACAGCCACCGCAGCCACAGGCACAGCCCAGTGTCTATGGTAATTAGAGCCGCCTGACATTTTGACTGGCAAAATTTATATCTGTTTTAAATTAATAATATCCGCATATTGAATCGGAATATTGAATGCTTTGCATCGAATCCTGTTTGATCTGCCATTGTGATATTGATGGTCGATTTCATTCAGCTCTCGTTTGAGTTCTGTTTGGACAAAGGCTGTTTCAGCGCCAGTTTCAGTTTTATTCGAACATTAATTTGATTGACCAGAATTTGAGCAATCGAAAGCCGAAAGTCGAAAGCCGGGTCCCGTCGAGGGTTGGGCCAGACAAGGTGGCAGATGCTTCTGAAAATGTTTAAAAGCATCTATAAATAGATGATTAGATGGCATATTTTATTTAATAACAGGTACAGTGTGATAAGTGCCCCTATGGGATCACAGATCATCTTCTGATATTGCTTAATTTAAGCATATTCCATAAGATTCGCTTAGGTATTTCTGACTAATGGACTATTCGGTCACGTGTTTTTTTATATCTTATGTACTCCATCTTTAATAATTTTCTTATCCATTCTTTTTTCTTATTTGAAATATTATTTCGAGTCGTAGATGCAAGTCTCGAGATTCATGGAATAATCGCCCTTAACGTACATGTAAATCCCAAAATGTTTGCTTCTGGAAATGCTTCAGCGCCAATTATGCAACTCATCAAAAACAAACACTCTTCCCCGCCTGCATTGGTTGGGGCATTCTCTGGCATTCCATTCGTGCAAAGTGAAGCAAAATACAATAAGTATTTGGCCCGAGGTGGCATGAGCGGCATACAGCGACCGACGAGCGACGATCGGTGGGGCAGTTCAGTGAACCCATTCGGAGAAGACATTGCTCATTGGCACACGCTGCAGATGTCATGATGGCATATGGGGGATGAGGGAACCTGTCCCAGAACCTGAACTCCGGATGAAATAGATATTTGCATTTCAATAACATTGATTGTGTAACGTGTGGTCCAGAGAGGGGCAGGCAGCGAGGGGCAGCGATGGGGAGAGTGGGGTCCCCGTTATATGTCCATCCACAATGAAAGTTTTCTGTTCGGCTCTGTTCTATTCGGTTGCACCAGCGACGCGTATCTGGTGGATACATTTGCATATTTAACGGAGTTCTTTGAACCCAAATGAATCGTTTGGTCCACTCCGCCTCGTCTAGATGCAGCGTCAGCTTCAACGAGTATCTCCATCTGGAGACGACCCAAAAACAACAGACAAATGAAATAAAATTAAATAGAATTGAATATCCGAGTCGTAAAACTTTATCGCTCTCATTCTGATCGAACATAGGACTGACCAACTAGAAATGGAAATTGGTAGAGATCTCTGATCCGAACCGGTTTGATCCGATCCGATCGTTAAACCAGGCAAGATTATTTTATATTTGCTGACAGCCTGTGTCCGCTTAACAAGTGTTAGCCGACATAAATCGCAGCCGTTTAGAGCGACCATAACTTCTGCAGAACTCGCTGAGGGGCCGCATGTTAATAGCAGATCTTATCGCCACGCTCCTCACTCTTGATTGATATGAGCAATTACCTTCTCGAGTGTGAGCCAGAAAATTAATTAATGCTAATTAATAATTCATCTACAAGTCACTCTCCTTAAGAGCCCATCCCAAGCTATGAGAACAGATGGTAGGGCCAAAGGTAATGGAGGAGCCCTTTGGCCCCAGCAACAACCAAAGCCACAGCCGCAGCCAGGGACCCAGCACAGTCCCAGTCGCAGTCACAGAGGAGCTTTTTCAATATGCAAATCGAATTCCCCAAAAACATCAACGCAGCGCATTTATCTTAAAGATGCGAATTAGCTGCGCGCTGCTAATTAATATCAATTTAAATTTATTGGCACGTTAACCAAGCCGCAATCCATGTACCCCACACCCGAAAACGGAACTTGAATGGCAGAGACAGAGACAACAGACAGAGACTTCTCCTCCCCCGCCCAGGTGACTGATTGAGGTACATTCACTAAGGTGGATATTCGGAAATAATTATGGAAATATTCCATCAAAATTAAGAGTCATTTCAGTAGTACGAGTAGAAAGGAACTACTGCTTTAGAGTTCTATCCACGATTATGATATTTGGGAATATGAATACATGAAGGAATTAATGGTGCTTCAGATAAGCAGAGTATTCTCTAGTGAAGTTTGGTATCCCCGTATCCCCGAGAATGTATCGTCTACCCGTTTTATTGTATGTAGTCAGCGCTTTGCGACAGCAGTAAAGCAATCGCCATAAAAAAATCCGCTGGATTGCAGCGCAAATTAAAAAACGCTCATTAAAATAAATTGCCAAGTCCCCAAACCAAAACATGCCCGATTCCCCCTAGTCTCGATTTTGCTCCCCTAAAACAAAGCCCTGTTCTGTTATGTTCTGAAGTTCTATGAGGCGGTCTGAAAGTGATATTAATCAATATGAAAGCTGCTTTTCGAGTTCAGTGAGCTTGGCTTTCGTGTTCACTTTCCCATTTGTGAGGAGGTTCCTGGATTGGGACTTAGAGTCGCTTTACACATGGCTGGAGACGCATACGCTAATTCCCCACCCATTCTAGGGGTCGTCTTCCCTCAACTTTAACAATCTTTTACTTTCGCTCATTTTTTAAATCTTCTTTTCCTTTCAGATCCAAAGATGTCCGCGGACTGGCGACTGTTGGGCGGGCTTTGCCTGCTGCTGCTGTTGGGCGTGGCCGTGAACGGGGAACTGTACACGGCGCTGGCGGAGATGGAGGAGCTATTTGAGACTGAGTCCGTGCTGATAACCAACCTGGAGGGCTACATCCGCGTGCAGGAGGACAAGCTGAGCTTCCTCAAAATGTGAGTATGCTTTGCATGAATACGCAAACAAGTATCTCGCAGATACAGATGCAGATTAATGGTCTTCGCTTAATCAGTCTTAAAGTTCGCATAAATACGTCTCAGTCTTTGCCTTTGCCTTTGAATTCCATTCCTCATGCAAATGAGGATGAGGCGAATATCTCATATATCTTCTAATGAGGGATTTGGATTGGGGCACGCAACAAAATGGGAGCTCAGGTAGTCTTTTGGTGCATTCTGGTAATTGCTTTTGCCACGTGCGGCGTGCTGCGGCAGCTGTTGCACGTCGCCCGCAGATAGAGATACACCCAAACATGTAGGTACATATGTACATATCTGTCGCGGCGCCTTGCACACATGATTATAGATATATGTATATATCTACAAGATACCCATCATTCGCTTCTGCTTCTGCTTATGAACATATGTAACTGCGTGTTTGAATGTGGCGGCGGATGCACATGGTGGAGCGCAGAGCAGAGAGCAGAGAGGTGCAGGATGCGGTGAGGCAACTCCCCTAATCAAATAATGCCATGTCCAGGAACAAGCGGAGGCACAGTCAGAGTAGAGGCAGGATCTATCTGGATGTTCCTGTTCCTGTCGCTCCTCGGCTTTGTCACAACAAAGGACCTGGCAGGAGATCCTCACAACAGCTGACAGCTGTTTGCCTGTCGCTGCTGCCTTTGTATCTGTGTGTGTGTCTTTGTATCTGTGCATCTGTATCCTTGTGCGCTGTCATTGCCCTGCAGTTGAAGTCCCTTTCTGTCGCTCCCTCTCTTTATCTCTCTCTCCCTTTGACTCTGTGGCTCAGCTTCTCCTCATCATCATCATTTTTCTCTCTCTCTCTCTGTCTGGCTATGCATCTGTGAGATACACTACTCTGCCAGTGGCTTGTGGCGCGTGCCGTCCGTCTGTTGGCAGGAGTTGAAGTTTTAATGCCGCTTTAAATTTTCCAACTGACATCTCCCCGGCGGGACAGCTGTCCAGCGCCAGTGCCCGCCCGCCCGGTCAGGGCTAATCCCTTTGACAGCTGGCCCCAGCGCCGACTGACCACCGCCTCCCAATGAAATTTTGATTTGATTTTGGCCTGCGCCTCTGTCACGGATGGCGGAAAATCAATTAAATTTCCCTGCACAGAACAAAGAAAAATCTGCGGGAGCTCTCCTCTTGCCTGCCAGAAAATGGCTATGCATGTGCATATGGATATGGAGCCACTGCCGGGATATATATGTGCATGCAATATGCATAGGGACACACAGGATAAATTAATGGGGAGATATGGGATCTCCCTGGTCTGCCACGGAAATGTAACGGTCGCTTCCAAGGGTGAGGGAAGACCGTTCCCTGCGCCCGTTCGCAGGGAAGGTTTTCGCTGCACAAAGACACAGAAAGAGAAGAGCACCAAATTCTGGGGGAGAATACACGCGCAGCGAATACATACTACATACTCGTAGGTTATGAGTTGGTAAATAAGAATTATACGAGGAGTGCTGATAAAGGGAACGCAACCCACGGTATGCCGGCTGTGGCTGCTGCTGCCTTTCGATTCGTTTCAACCCTCGCTGAGGAAGCAAAAGCAGGAGCAGGAGCATTAGCAGATGTTTCTGTTTTCTGTTTCTGGCTTAATGGAACGCGCCAAACAGAACAGCCACACAGCCACAGTCATTGTACGGGTGTCTGGGCAGAGCTCTTTTATATGTATATTATGTATAAATGGATAAATGGCTGAATGGGGGGGAAGGTACGCGGACAGGCACGATCCACTCGACTGCGCGCCTGCGCAGGAAGTCGAGGAGCCGACATTTCCACGTTTCTAGCTTCAGTCGAGTCGCAGTTGTCGTCGCGAGCGGATCGGAAATAGCAAGAGACGGATCTTGCCAGAGAAAAGTGAACCCTAGAAAGTGTAAAGACAATAAGTGAAGTGAAACGCACCCCTTAAAGCAGGAATACCAAGAACATAGACCTGAGATACGGTACAGTGCTCTACAGATCATGTCCCAGCACAACTACACGAACCCGGCCTTCTGCCAGAACAGCGAGTTCTATCCGGTGCCCAGCAGCGGCACCGGCAGCGGCAGCAGTCGCGTAGAGTCCATCTACAACCGCAGTCTGCAGCTGAATTTCGGCGCCGTCTCTCGGCCAGCCCATGTCGCGCCCTCGCCGAGTCGCGATCCCCGCGAGGGTCCCCTGCGGATGCAGCGTAGCATGTCCACGCGATCGGTGACGCGGAAACAGCAGCAGACACAGAACTACAAGCAGCAGAAGCAGCTGCAGCAGAACCACCAGCAACACCAGCAGCAAAACCAGCAGCAACAATCTTCGAGTGGTCGCTATGCTCTGGTGCCCCTGGAGGAGCTTAATGTGAGCAGAGCTAGCCGATATGCCATTGTGCCCGGACAGGCGGCCCAGCGACTGGCCAGGTCCCAGGACAACCTCGATTGCTATGGATCCAGGTACGGTCTGCAGTCGGACGAAGAGCCGCACTCCTTCCACGAGGAGCCGCACCAGGAGACGCAATTCGCCAGTCTGCCGCCCATGCTGAATGCTCTGCCCCCGAAGCCCATCGCCAGCCAAGGACAACAGGGAATGCCGGGACAGACGAAGATCAAGCACGCCTTTAGCAGCGACTTTGGCAGCAAGACGTTCCTTATCGTGGACAAGAACAGCAACCAACGGTACCAGATGGTGCCCACGGCCGAGGACGAGGAACTGGTGGACGAGAACCAGGAGATCATCCAGATGCACAACGGTCGGGCCCATCGGTACGCGATGATACCCACGGACGCGGACGAGGAGGAGCTGGTCGAGGAGGAGTCCTCGATGATGCAGCAGCAGCAGGAGACCTGCCTCAGCACCACGGAGCTAAGTCAGCAGTTTGCCGCAAGGACCTCGACGCCACAGCAGAGGAACGCAGCGGCCGCCACACGGGCACTCCACGAGCTGCTCACCACGCCCCGCAAGATGCAGCCGCCGCCGCGTCTTGCCCACTCCACGCCTCGCAACGCCGCCCACCACGAGCAGCTGCAGCTGGAGCGGCGCCTGCAGATCTACCAGAGCCAGCAGATCCTCAGCCAGGTCGCTCCTCCTCCTCCTCCCACAGTGCCGCTCCGCCAAAACCGACTCTCGCCGCAGAGACTCCACTACGAGACGGTGAAGGCAGCTCCTGCCCCACTGGCAGACCGCTCCATGGCCGTGATCAGTCCGCGGGTGCAGGAGCAGGAGCGTGACCGGGAGCAGGACATGAGCAGCATCCAGGGCAAGCCGCAGAACAATAACTCCTATCCCGCAGAAGTTGGCCAATGCTACCATCACCCTGGCCGTTGTCTCACTGATGCTCGTCCTGGGCAGTACCATGAACGCCGGCCTCATCATCTACATGATAGCCCACGTAAGTCGATAGTCAAGTAATCCATGAACTTCCGAAGAATCGCTCGATAACCTGTTGCTTCCTCCTGCAGTTTGGCAAATCCTTCTATCTACAATTCGGTTTGGTGGCCTCTTTCTGCGGCGTGGGCCTGGGATTCCTCGGATTCCGCTCGCGTCACTGCGAGTGGCTGCCGAATCGGAGCTACACCTCCGGATACATCCTGGTCACCGTGTTCTGCCTGTTCAAGAGCTGCGGCCTGCTGGTGATCCTCGTGCTGGACCCGTTCCCCGGCCTGCCACTCCACGATGTCACCACGGGCGTCATCCTGGGCCTCTCCACCTTCACCATGTTCTTCATCGGCCTGGGCGTGATGGGCAGCCTCTGGTGCTACCGTCCCCCGCCAGACAACCGCGTCAACGTTGTCTAAGGATCGTCTTAGCACGAGTAGTTGTATTGTCTACTTTAAGTTCCCATAATAGATGTAGTCCCCTTCCTTCGAGCACTCGGCACACGGAACGGCTAAAAGACCAAAAGACTAGTATTATTCATAGAGAGTTTATTCCCAAGAGACTGTAAATACCATGTGGGTTGTACTTACCTTACGAGTAGACTTTAGTTTGTTTCTAATCTCTCCTAACTTATTGCTCACCCTTAGACACCGTTAGTTTCCAACTAACGATAAGCATACAATAAAGGCACTTTCAACACCACTTCTTCGAGGGCTCTTTCAATTATTGGTTCCTTCTTTGGAAGAGTGATATGGATTTTCCCAACTTATGGCATATCAGTTGAGCTTACAATGCTCCCTTAATTGCTGGGAAAACTTCTTCCTCGAAGGCTTTCCACTGCTCTAATACGATTTTCAAACTCAAGAAAAGCACTTAGTGAAGTTTCTGGAAACTTTCTTTAATTCCATCTGCAGCAAAATGGACGAGTACCAGCGGGAGCACGCGGACGCGGCCAGCGACATAACCGCCTACGTCTCGAACCCGATCAATGCTTACCTCTTGACCAAGCGGCTGACCACGGACTGGCGGCAGGTGGAGAACCTAATGGAGCACGACGTGGGCACTGGTAAGTGAGGGCTGATGAGGGTGTTTTTTAGGTACATGCCTGACATCCACGACATGTTTCTTGCTCCCGTATAGACTTCCTGCAGAATCTGACGCAATACCGGAACGTGCTGAAGTTCCCCTCGGACGAGGACCTCAACGGGGCAGCGGTGGCTTTGCTGCGGCTGCAGGACACTTACCAGCTGGACACATCCAGTGTGGCACGCGGCAAGCTCAACGGGATTCAGTACAGGTAAGTGGGGAAGGGAGCCCCGTCTAGACCCGGAATGACCATTCTTTTCCGAAACGCAGCACGGAAATGTCATCGGACGACTGCTTCGAACTGGGGCGTCAGTCGTACGTGAACAACGACTATCACCACACGGTGCTCTGGATGAACGAGGCGATGTCACGCATGCTGGAGGAGCCCCTTAACCAGACCCAGACATTCACCCGTGCCGATGTGCTGGAGTACCTCGCCTTCTCCACCTACAAGGAGGGTAAGCATCCGGCAGTTTACTCTCGTTGTTGTCCTGGTCCTCGTTTGCATGGCACTTTTTGAGGTCCATTTGGCTGCAGGAAATTGCACTTTTGCCAGTCTGCCAGGTGACTTGAGGTGCACTAAGAGCCAGACATTAAGTGCTAAAAACTGTTGGCCATCTGCAGTCGCTGCGACAGTGTTGTGGCTAAGAGCAGCAGCAGCGCCACCCACATAGTCAGAGCCAGTCTCAGTCCCCAGGCACGTCCACCGCCCATACTCACCCGCATCCTCTGATGGTTTTTTGAACAGTCTTATTACCCATGGATTGCCATGAATTGCGCCCCATCCGTTCATCAAAGAGTTGGCAGGCACACGCATCTGTATCTACTTTTACGTTGGGCGTACCACTCGTGGCACACAATTTATGGGCGGGTCTTGGGCGTAGCGGAAGTGCCGCCATATTGTGTTGAAGAAGAGAACGGCAAGCAAAAAAACACACACACATACGCACACACACACACACACACACACAATTCTGTCTGCCCCTGAGGCAAGTGACAGGCTTTCTGTCACCCCCTTCCAAGGAGGGTAGGGAGGCAGTAGCAGTTCACATGTGTGTCGTGTGAGGCGAGGAGATGCAAATATAAATTCCTGTCTCTGACAAGGTCTCAGAATTTTGGTGGCGGTGGCGGTTGGAGCCTGCTCTGCTCCTCAGACTGGAAGGTCGGACGACCTTATTAGTGAACTAGAAGGAGTCGGGGCCAAGGACAGCATCGCAAATGAATAACTAAGCAAGAAGCACAGAAGAAATCCAATACATACAAGTTGCTATGTCGTTTGCGGGAAACGAAACTTTCCAACTGGAAAAGGAACCACAGAAGAGATCTAAAGTGTGGCATACTTTCGGGCAGCTGGAGTTATTCTTGTGGCCGAGCAATGAAATTAACTTTTCCCAAATTTACTTTCCCATACAGGCAACGTGGAGAGCGCTCTGGTCATGACCAACGAGCTGCTGCAGCTGCTGCCCAACCACGAGCGGGCCAATGGCAACAAGCGCTTCTACGAGAAGGAGATCGCCCACCAGAAGGAGATGAAGAAGATGAAGGGCGACGATGGCACCGACGAAATGCCCGTCTCCGATCTGGTAAGGAAGTTACGAGCAGCTCCCAAGGCTCATAGACTATAAGGCTTTCCCTCTTCAGCCTGTGGCCAGGAGCGATACCGGCGAACTCGGCGTGAAGGAGCGCAAGTCCTACGAAATGCTCTGCCGCGGGGAGCTGAAGCCCTCGCCGACGTACATGCGATCGCTGCGGTGCCGCTATGTTACCAACAATGTGCCCTTCCTGCGGCTGGGACCCTTAAAGCTGGAGGAGGCCCACAAGGATCCCTACATAGTGATCTACCACGACGCCATGTACGACAGTGAGATGGATCTTATCAAGCGCATGGCCCGTCCGCGCTTCCGTCGCGCCACCGTCCAGAACTCGATCACCGGGGCCCTGGAGACAGCCAACTATCGGATCAGCAAGTCGGCCTGGCTGAAGACCGAGGAGGATAGCGTGATTGCGAAAGTGGTGCAGCGCACCGCGGACATGACTGGCCTGGACATGGAGTCGGCCGAGGAGCTGCAGGTTGTCAACTACGGAATCGGGGGCCACTACGCGCCCCACTTTGACTTTGCCAGGGTGAGTGGTCATTCCCAGATACATGCCCCTGTTGTCCCCTTTCCCGTTTGATTTGTTCTGTTTTGAATCTTTGCAGAGGGAGGAGAAGCGCGCCTTTGAGGGCCTCAATCTGGGTAATCGCATTGCCACTGTCCTCTTCTACGTGAGTTTCCCCGACTCTTTTGTTATCCCTAAGCTATATCCTATACTTCCCTATCTCTTGCAGATGAGTGATGTGGAACAGGGTGGAGCCACTGTGTTCACCACACTTCGCACTGCCTTGTGGCCGAAGAGGGGCACAGCTGCCTTCTGGATGAATCTGCATCGGGATGGCGAGGGCGACAAAAGGACCCAGCACGCCGCCTGTCCCGTCCTCACGGGCACTAAATGGGGTGGGTTCTAGCAATACCAAATAAATTCCATTTGATGAATTTTCTCAATATCCTTTACTCTTTCCGTAAACAGTTTCCAACAAGTGGATACACGAGCGTGGCCAGGAGTTCCGACGACCCTGTGCCTTGAACGAGGACAGTGGTGACTTTGCCATCTAGTTTGGGATCTAGTTAATACAATGCAAAACATCGAATCTTAAGTGCGGAGAGGACCCTCTAAATCTCATCCCTCTCCCTCGCCAGCGCCCTCGCAGGCTGGTCATCGAATTCCTATTGTACATACAGCATCCAGCTAGAAGGCGGCGGCATATCTTCTATTCTGTACTCACTTACGGACTGCATAGACTGTCCATAGCTATATCATAGAACCCTATTGAATTTATCTACTTTTGTATATTGCCTAGTTTAAATAGTAGAACAAATTGCAATAAATCGAAAACGAAACCATAGCAGAACCATTCTTCAAACCTTTCGGAAGCTTGCTCACGCTACAGCTCGATTAGTGGCGGTGTCCAGTCACACCCACTGACTATCCATCTGCCCGAAGGGCTCATCCATCAAGTGCAGTGGAGTAGTAAGTAAGAGGAGCTTTGGTTCGGTACCATCAGCTGTTAACAGTTGATATGTACGTATGCGTGTGGGGCATGTGGGGGTGGTGGTGTGTCCATGCATACGGCAAATCGGCTTTCGAGGACCGCGTTGCATGCTCTGCGACGCATGCGGCAAATTCGATTTGCCTGAAAAGTGAAAAGTGCCTCCATGCGGTAGGCAAACCACGGACTGCACTGTCGGGTTTGACAGAATTATGAATCACATGCGGATGGGAAGGCGTACCAGAATTACGGGTGCTAGAAAGTTTCCTTGGTAGTATTAGGAATGGGAGAATAACAGTTCGAATAAATTCAATTCTACTAATACCGGGTATGAAACTGTCCATCTGCACCTGTCGCTTTCTGAGGGAAATGCCAAAGAAAGAGAGAACGAGCAGTGAGCGAATTGTTTGCTTAGCCGCACTTGTGTCTGTGGCTGGCATTTGTTTGCTGAGCATTTTATTCTGGATACGTGACAGTTTCTTAATGGAATATCATTCTTTTGGGCCATAGATAAATGGCCCGGCTACAAGAAATATCCATCAGCTACAGTCAGTCCCAGTCGTTCCCTCATTTCACAATGTCACATCGTGTTTGGAGCTGTCTGTCTCTGTGGCTGGTCGTCATGCTCATTATTCGAGCCCGGGCAGAGTTCTACTCGTCTGTGGACACCATGCAGGAGCTGGCACAACTGGAGTTGGAGCTGCTGAATGCCACGCGTTCCTATCTGATGGCCCAGCAGCAGCAGACTAATTTATTCCGCAGGTAATTCAATACAGATTGGAGTCGCTCGGCGCCGGGTATTGATGTCTTTTGGCAGATTTTTAGAACAGCTGAAGCAAGAACATGACATGGCCATGGATCTGATAGATCTCGATGAGTATCTGGGGCATCCACTGCACGCCTTCAGGCTGATAAAGCGACTGGTCTACGATTGGGATGCCTTGCACACTCCGTTGGTGGAAAACAAACCCAGAGAAGGTGATTATTCGTAGGAGGATAAAACTTAATCCTTTAAGAGTATGTCCCTCGTCATCGCAGACTACCGCCAGGTGGTGGATAACCTGTCCAAAGAAGTCGGCTTCCCCGATCTGTCGGAGCTTCAGGGTGCCGTCAAAGGCGTGCTACGACTACAGACGGTCTACAATTTCACCGCCGCGAACCTGGCCGATGGCATCATCAACGGCTTCTTCTACGACTCCGAAATGAATTGGCGAGAGTGCTACGAGATTGGGGTACAGCTCTTTGATTTGGGAGAACATCAGCGCTCCTTGGAGTGGCTCCAAGTTGCGTTCAACCTCCTCCGGACCAGTCCCGAGATGGGGGAAGAAGGGAAGTCCCAGTTCATAGCTGACATCAAGGAATATGTGGCCTTGGCAAACTTTGAGCTAGAAAATCCCAAGCTAGCTGTCAGACTTTTGGAGAAGGTACTGCAAACCGAACCCACGCATCCCGCACGGCACACACGAATTTATATGGAACACAGGGATTTGGCGGAGACCAGGCAGCAGAAACAAGAGCCCTCGTGGTTCGCCAACTACACGAGGCTCTGTCAGGGCAGAAGATTTCCCGAGAAGGGAAATGGAATTCCACTACGTTGCTTCCTCGATGGCAATAGACACGCGTACTTCACCCTCGCTCCCCTACAGGTGGAGCAGGTGCATCTGGACCCCGACATCAACGTGTATCACGGGATTCTGAGCCTCGATCAAATCGATTCCATATTCGAGGAGGCGGACAAGCTTGAAATGACACGCTCTGGGGTGGCAGGAACCGGTGGAACGCGAACTGTAGTCGATCTTCGAGTCAGCCAGCAGACGTGGCTCGACTACGAGAGTCCCATAATGAAGTCCATCGCTCGCCTTGTGGCATTCATATCCGGCTTCGACATTGCCGGGGCCGAGTCCATGCAGGTGGCCAACTACGGCGTGGGCGGACAGTACGAGCCCCATCCGGACTACTTTGAGGTCAACCTACCGACTGATTACAAAGGAGATCGCATCTCCACCAGCATGTTCTATGTAAGTGGCGGCATCATCTGTTATGTATCTAGACTCATTGTTCTCTCATTTAATTGCAGCTCTCTGACGTGGAACAGGGCGGCTACACGGTCTTCACCAAGCTAAATGTCTTCCTGCCTCCCATCAAGGGTGCTCTGGTCATGTGGCACAACCTGCATCGCTCACTGGAAGTGGATCCGCGCACCTACCATGCCGGCTGTCCTGTGATCATTGGCTCCAAGCGCAGTAAGTGAACACTTCATTATTACTGATGTACAAGTACACAGAATATTCTTCGCAATTATCACTGTTTATTCTTCCGCAGTTGGAAACATTTGGATGCACTCGGGCTACCAGGAGTTCCGCAGGCCATGCAACCTCACCTCGGATAGCTTCAAGTCCGTGGCATATCGGGAATGAGTGGGTTTTCGTCTCTTAATAAACTAGTATCTTATTTTAATGAGTGTTTGAGTAGTTTTCAGTTTTCAGTCAAAGTTTTTGTAGTGTAAAGAGACTAGATGGTTCCGCTGAAGACCGCAGGGCCGCACACGATCCTGATTGCGCTCGCGGATCCACACATTGGCAACTGCAGAGACAGAAATTAATTAAATCAGATTTCAAACTAAACTCTTATGCATAAACCTACTCCACTTGCTTCCCTGGAGGACGGGACAGGCAGCATGCTTCGTGCGGAAGTCCTGGTCCCCAGATGGATGCAGATTGTACCAGAACAGAAGGCTGCCTCTCTCTGGAGATACCAGCAGCGGCAAGAAGGGAAAGGCAGTTCCGCCGCCAGCCTCCACATCGGAGAGCTGTAAGGGATTGATCATTACAGATGGTATCGGCTTAAGGAGCAGCGATTCATTAACTCACGTAGTAGATGCCCGTGGCCAGGCGATTGCCATGGCGATCGTCTTCGGGGTACACGTGATGCTCGGGAAAGCTGTCCCAGTGCGGCTCGTAGTGGCCCCCGATGCCGTAGTTGGCGATCTGCAGATTCTCGGCATAGTCCATGTCCAGGCCGGAGATATCTGCCACGTGCTGGCTGAGTCGCTGGGTGGTCGTGTACCGCGAATAGTTAAAGGAGGCGCCCTGGCTGGTGCGGAAGGCGGCTGCGGTGGTGCCAGCGCCCGCTTGGTTGTACACTGTGGATCGCTGGATGCGGGGTCGGGCCTTATTCTGGAGGAACAAGGATTCCCGCTGGCTGACCATATCGTGCAGCTGCACTACGGGGGGATCTGCATGCAGCTCTTCCAGCTTGAAGGGAGCGTAGCCGAAGCGACTCCTCTGCAGGCGGCAGCGAAGATGTCTCTGTGCGGCGGGGGATGGAGCGAGCTCACCGCGGCACACCTGCTCGTACATGCGGAATTCCCGGGAGCTGTGGTAATCCCCTGGCCGGCGGGCAGTCGTGTGAAGGAGTCCCTGTTTCACCCCATCCGTGATGAGATCTTCCAGCTGCGTGCGGGTCTGCTCGAGGTGACGTCGCTCCTCTGGCTGAATGGCAAGGACGTGGTTGATTAGGTTGAGGGCGTTCTCGTGGTCGCCCATCTGCTGATGATATCCCACCACCGCCTCCATGAAGTCCAGCGAGGCAGATTCCTCGCCGTAGCTTTGCTCTCCCAGCAGCTGCATCGACTGCTGCAGCCACGGCACCGTATGGTTGTAGTCTCTCAAAGCGTACAGGTGCTGTCCCAGGACGAAGCAGTCCTGCCAGGACATAGCAGTGCTGTAGGAGGTTCTCTGATTGATAACATCTCTTTATATAAAGAGTCTGGGAATCTCTCACCCGTACTTGACTCCATACAGCATTCCGCTTGCCAGCTCTGCCACATCCAGTTGATACGTTTGTTGGAGTCGTGTCAGGGCAATGGCGGAACCCACGAAATCGTCCTGTGAAGGATAGCTTAGGTTCTCCTTCAGCACAGCGATGTTCTCAAGGTAGTCTTTAGGAAAAACAATTCCACACATAGATCATAAAAATATATCCAGAGATAATTACCCGCGCGGCTCGTGTCTCCCTTTACGCTACTCTCGAAGGTCTCCCAGTCACTGTACAGCCGCTTGATCAGCCGGAAGGCGTTCACAGGATTGTTGAGGTAGTTCCCAATACTGTCCATGGCACTCAGGTGCTCCACTCGTATTGCATCGATCTCGCTGTGGTCAGAGGTAAGCAGATGTATCATTTATCAGGAGAGTAATCCCTTGTCCCACTCCCAAAATACCTGAAGGGGTTTGCATACATTTGAATGAATAAACTGTCACACAAGACCCCAAATTTTTTTTGGTTTTCTATAATTTTGCATAACCTTGATTAATTGTTGCAATCAGCAGGGGGCGGCGCGGCAGAGAGGTAGTAGCGGGCCACCTGATTTGTATAATTATCGCATTTATTTGTACGCCTGTCGCCTGCATTGAAGTTCATTTAGAAATCATTAAGATTAAGAACCAAACCGTTACCAAATTCCCAGCTTAGAAGCGGAACCAACTCTCCACTATCTTCATTTTGTAGATGATTAATTTGCAGCACTTGTTGGCCATTAATCTGTTGATTATCCCCTAAACCAGCAATCGAATATGATACTTTATTCTGTGGAGAGCAGGGTATTCAATTGAATAGTACAGAGACACAATGTGTGTCTACAAGACCTGTTTTGGAATCAGCGTTGCACCAGGGCGTTATAAATTATATACTTTACAATCTGTTAACGGTTTCTAGTTGCCGACAATCCGGTTTCGAAAGTGCGCATGATAAACAAAATATAGAATATCCATGCCCATTCTACGTATACTCGCATGTGTCCGAGGCGATGATTGCACCATATATTGTTTATTCTGAAAGTCGATGACACTTATTTCTGAACAGCAAAATTAACTTTCGGCGATTCCAGCTTCAGATCTAGCTGCGAATATCGCTCCTCTGGTAGCAATCGATTGACGGAGATAATGAAATGCTAATTTCCTAAATGCTATTGAAAGTTTTGCCGCTATTTGTGGTTTATTTGGCCAATAAATAAGTCTATAACCGCTGAGAATAAATCAAGGCAGGAACTAGGAGAAATTAGCAGGCCATAAAATAAACTGCACCGAAGCAACATTAACAGATGGACCGATCGTTGATCGTGAGCCCCTGAGGACGACAAATCGTTGGGCCGTAATGCTTATACATAAATTCTATTCGGCATTCTCTTTTATGGCAACCGGTTGATATCTCTACAAGTTCCATGTTAAATGAACATAAGAGTGGCATGAGAATAGTCTGATACCATCTGCCAGGCAATCTCTCCCACAACCTCAAACATTTGCTTTAATCAGAAAAAAACCCACAATCGTTTTCAATTAATTCAAAATCAATGTGGGCGTCCACGCATATGACGTGAAATATTCACAATCGGATGTTGTGGCCATTTTTACATGATTGTTCAAGCGAATGGGCTTCCAATGGGAAACTGCATTCGAATTTCGACAAACTGGCAGATTGATTGGCTCTCGGAATTCCAATTGGCTGGAGTGCGAATGGGCTTCAAAGCTCATTTGCATATAATGAGTAGGCCTAGGAATCCGCAGAAACCAGATTGGCACACAACGAAGACTACTTGAACTTTCCATTTTATTCTAGAGATTATCTCTCTCATCAAAAGTTACCTCATAGGACTGATTTGGCTCCCCCGCTTACCTCTGTAGAGCCTCTGCATGCTGAGTAATTTCATCCACGTAGTTTTGGAGTTCGTCCAGGAGCACGAACTCCGTGCGGAATAGCTGCTCCAGGCCTGAGGTGGAGCTGTAGAACTCGGCGCGGCAGGCCACCAGCTGGACGACCAGCACCAGGATCCACTTCAACTGAAACATCTCTATGGGAGTCGCGAGGTGCGCTGCTGCTTGCTGTCTCAGCCGCGAATCGTTTGAAACTGTTCGGCATCCGATGTGATCTGCGATCGTCTTCCGAAAAAAGCTTGCGGTGTCTGGTGTGCGACTTCGTGAAGCTCGTGCGTGATCGATCGTGTCAAAGCTGTGGTCAAAGAACTGCCCTCGGGGGTAGACGTTCTGCCTGAATAGGCCACGTGAAGAGAGTACTCAAGAGGAGCATGTTTGGAGTTCAATAAACCCTGAACGGAACCATTGTGGGAATGCCTTTACATGGCTCAAAGATGTACCAATTATTCTAGAAATCGGTTATGTAAGGCATTTCTCAGACGCCAAGCAATTGTTTCAGCCAGAATTTTACTCTAGTAATTACTTTCACTTTGCTGCTCGCAGCAGTTGTCACTTCACAAGCCCACAAATATTCAAATCGAGTCCCCCACCCAAACTTTGTTGCCCGTGAACTTGTTTATGCAAATGAAGCCGGCTCATCCGACTCATCGCTCTGCTCTCTGCTCTCTCCCATCCACCATCCACAATCTCTCTACCGAAGCGACATGTCTCGACTTTGTTTTGAGTGGAACCACAAATCCCACTCAAAGCTCTGCCTTAACCCACTAAGCACCTTTGGGGGCAGTAAGAGATACTAAAATGTTTTGGTAACTAGCTTTATTTAATAATCTCGTACTCCAACGACACCTCGTGATCCCGGAAAACATCGCAGGGCCGCGCAAAGGTCTGTGTGGCTTCGTGTATCCAAACGTTGCCAACTGCAAGAAAAATAATCAGAGGAGGTTAATTGCTAAGGTGAACTTTAATGTGGATTCCCTTGGGCGTCGCTTAAATTGTGTGAATCGAAACGGTTTGTAACAATTAATATGAACTTTTAATGGAAGTTCGGTGGTATGGAGTATATAGTATATAATTGAACAAGTGATTAGCCACAGAGTTAGAGGTTTTTGAAAATGTAAGTAGAATCAAAGTCTATTAAGTACCGACATAGGTCATCAAAGATGTCTAAGAATCAATAATACCCTAAAAATACCAACCAGAGAACTTCATATAACCACGAACTATTATTCAGTCGACTCGGCTCTCGTCACATATATTATCATTTATCTCTTTAAAGGTCTTTCTTTTTCTGCATTCTTCTGCACAACTTTTGGCAATACCCCCTGGAACACTTTATTTAAAAACTAAGCTGACATCGCAACCTTGTAGTTGTAGTCCCCAATCCCTATAAATGGAGAGTACTTACTCCACTTGCTGCCCTTGAGAACCGGGCAGCCGGCGTGCTTGGTGCGATAGTCCACGTCGAGGGAGCGGTGCACGTTGTACCAGAAGAGGACGTTCCCCAGCTGCGGCTTCACGGCAAAGTTGAGAAAAGGAAACGCGGTGGCTCCGCCCTGCTCCACATCGGAGAGCTGCAGAGGAGGGAGCAGTAGCTCGTCATAAATTCAAATGGGGATTAGCTTGACTTGCACGCACGTAAAAGATGGCGGTGGCCATGCGGTTGCCCTCTTCGGCGGGATAGTGGTTTGGGTCCCGAAAGAAGTCCCAGTGCGGCTCGTAGTGGCCTCCCACGCCGTAGTTGGCGACCTGCAGCTGCTCGCAGAAGGTCATGTCCAGGCCGGTGGCGTCGCTTAGGTCTGACAGCATCCCGCCCATCGTCGGGTGGGAGTCGTAGGCGAGCCAGGCGTTCTTGCTGACGCGGAAGGAAGACTTTTTGTTTTGGCCGCCGGGCAGGGGATTCACCGTGGAGCGGTGCATCCGGGGGACGGCCATCTGCCGGAGGTCGGAGATTTTGCGCGGACTGAGCATGTCGTGGTAGGTGACCACGAAGGGGTCCAGGCTGTGCTCTTCCAGTTTTAGAGGGGCCAGGCGTCGATAGGGGTGGCTTCCCTGCGAGTACCGACAGCGAAGGGGACGCTCTTGGCTGGGAGAAGGACCCACCTCGCCTCGGCACACCTTCTCGTAGTGGGCGAACTCCTGCGTGAGCTGCAGACCTAAAATTAGCTTCGAACTGGAAGAGGGAATGAGGCCTGGCCTGGGGCCGACTTACGCTGTAGGAATCTGAATGCCTGGGCAGTGCCATGTCCTCCACCTCCTCAGGGGTAGTCGCAGCTCCCTTGTCACCGAGATGCCAGTTCCGGATGCGCTTCGGATCGAATTGGAGAACCCGCTGGCTGAGCTCGTAAGCGGTGTCAAAGTCGCCTAAAAAGTCGATTGGTCAATATATGCAGAGAGCCAATCCTTCCGCCTGCTGCTTACCCAGCTGGAACAAACTCTTGGCCACCGCCTCCATTCGATTGAGGGTTCCGCTGTCGGGGGCGGAGGCTGAGGCGGGACTAGGACTGGAGCTGTGACTGTGACGTCCCAGCCGCTCCATGGACTCCCGCAGCCACACCTTGGTGTTGTTGTAGTCCTCCATTTCAAAGAGTTGTTGACCCAGCACGAAGCAGTCCTGCCAGCTCATGTCGGAGCTAAAAAAGGATTCAAATAGATGGCGTATGAGCATATTTTAAGCCTCGCTGGTTATTGCTTATTGGAGCCCTCTCCTCTCCTACCATTACTCACCCATATTTTATGCCATTCAGTATGCCGGCGGCCACTTGGGCCACATCCAATTTGTAGGTGCTCTGCAGGCGGACCAGTGCCAAGGCTGCACCATCCACGTCCTCTTGACTGGGGAAACTCAGGCCACATCCCTGGGTAACGTTGAAATCTGTGGGAGGGAATGAGAATCAGTTTTAGCATTTTCGAGGCCGAAACGGAGCCCAGCTCTTATTTACCGATTTTATCAGCGATTTCCTGAACACGTCCGTCCAGATGCGGCCAGTCCGTGTGGAGGCGCTTCATCAGGCGGTACACATTCACCGGGTTGGTGAGATAGTTTTCCGTATCCTTGGCAGCCACAACATGCTCCTGTTCGATGGAGGACAACTCGCTGGCCATGATAAACAGGACAGAATAAGCACAGGTTCCAGTTTGAGCTTAGCAGTACCAGTTTGCCCCTATCTATGACTTGTGTCGTCACAAGCGCACATTTTGCATACGAATATTCAGCCTTAATTAATTCTAATTTATGTCTGATGCTAAATTCATAATAGTTTTTACGATCGCAGCGATAACCCACCACGAATCCAAACGAAAGCGAAATGCCAGCCGCCGGAAACCTGCTAACCAACTTAGGATTATCCCCAAACTGTCACTAACTATCGCAACTCTCTTGCTAACTTGTCATGGCACCCTTCAAGCTCAGCTCTCCGATCAATTCAATTATTACAGAACAGAACTCAGACACAAAGTCTGGCGGTACCCTCGTGTGCTCGTGGGCTCGTGGGCTTGTGTGCTCGTGGGCTCGTGGCTCATTGTAAACTAGTTCTCGCAGGCGGCATAAAAACTTTAATGGATTTTCGATCGCCAAGTTGTAATTAAATTAGCATTGTTCGAAAATCGTGCTTTGACTAAAACTATACATAGTTTTCATAGGGGTTGTTTCGACCATAAGATATCCTCCAAATAATGTCTGTGTACGATAGAATCCTTTAGTCCTAGTTGATATACCTAAATAAACCCTATTTGAATGTCCTCTAAGCAAGTCTTGGACTTACTGTGTCAAAAGTCGCGTCATATTGAGATCGGTTCCCAGATGACATCGCATCCCTTCACTCACCTCTCCAATTGTTGCAGCGATGTCCTGACTGCATTTACAGTAGTCCGTAAGTTCCTGAGAAGAAAGTCTTCCGTTTGCAGCAGTTTCTCCAGGCCTGTGATCGATGAGAAGTAATCTGAGCCACGACACGAATGCCCAAGACAGGACAAGAGTCCTAGGAGTACTAAGAATCTCCTCATCATTCCTTAATTTGCTCTGGTATGTATTTTAGTTATCGATATATGTATATGCATATATATATCCTTTCCGTGATCTATATCTCTTTTATGTTCTCTTCGCTGCTGGCTTAGGCGACCACCCCTGTCCGCGTCTCGTAGCTAACTGATCGTATTAGCGGATCTTTGGCTTGGGGCTGAGACTTCCCAGAGACAGTCGGAGAAGTCGTTTTGCACGGGTTTCGGGTACTTTGAGTCTCGGCATCAAACTAGTTGGCTATGACTACGACTTGAAGAAAACTGTTTTATCAGCCTGTTATGTGCATTCTGATGAAGAGCCTACACTGAGAAAAAATGCTCCCGTAATTGAGAACTCAAATTTGAGGCGCTAAATATTTACGGATTATATATTCACATTTCGAATCTTGCCATATGCATCATTTATGCGTACCCCTATCGGATGGCAACGTAATACCTATTTAGAAGCCTAGGTCTCGGCTTAGTATCGCTGTTCTCAGTGTATAGAGTTCTAGACGGTCGGGCGTGTTTTATGGCTTGTTTTGTGCTGATTTACTGATGTTTATCGCATCAGCTCGTTTTCAATTCCGATTCCGATTCAGATTCGGCTTTGTCTTCGGTTTGGATATTATTTGGGCTTGATTTAGACCAGCCCGAGCATATTAATACGCACTAATTGGACGGGCGTCGTTTGATATTTAAGGCTGCAGTGCGACTCCGACTAGCAATAGTGCTGGAAAGTGCCACCTCATTGCGGCTTATTAACATTTCATATCCGATTGGGTCTGGGCAGCCATCATATGTCATTTTGGTTTATGGGCTCCCGACTGCGCATTGACGGTCCGTTGTTTATGCTCATCGCCTCCGGCCGACAATTCGGAGCAATGAATCTTTAATGAAGTGTCAACATAACAGCGGCGAAGGGTATAACGAAGATGTGTATACCCTTGCAGACCGATAACCATGGGTAGCCAATAAAATGTGAAAAAATTAGGTAAGCAATTATAATTATTTAACATGTATATTTTTCTTCCGGTAAATGGAAACTATGTGGTAATGGGCTCGAAAGGGTAAAGTTCTGTTTTGGCCTGCATTTTAATCATCGTTGAAGATATACCATTAAAAGACATACTTTCTATCAAGTGTCGACTCCTGCGCTGAATAACATTAACCCCGTAGCGAGGGTATACAAATGCAAAACAAATCCCCCCATAAACATCACTATTTATTTTGATTCGCAATCGCCTTTGATTTAATGCCTCAAAAGGTAGCCCCAACACCTGCTTGATGTTGGCCCGATGTTTGCCTTTGCTACTCGTATTTCCTCTTGCCAACGTCGCCATTGTGGGTATCAGGCAAGCAGAACTGATGCCATATTCCCAGCCGCCCAGCCACTCGCACTAGTATTTGCTCACTCCATTCACACTTCGACCATCAACCATCGACCACTCCCTGCACTGCGAGTGGAATGCAATAAAAAGCTGATATTCAATAAAATGTCAAGGCTGACTTTATTTTATTCTCCCAGAGGCAATTAATGCACATGTAAAGACATGGAAACGGGAAGTTTCCCTCTCAACAGAGTCCCGTCCACGCCGCTGCAAAGGAAATTGAGATGAATAATAATGGCAACTCCTGGAGTCAGCCAGTCAGAGATGAGGGCGTGGGCCAGGACTGCGATTTCACCCACTCATCTCTGCTCGGTATTACTCACACACTTGGGCGCCCAGGAGCACGGGACAGACTGCCTGGCGACTGCGGTAGTCCATCTCGGAGACGGACGCGGACGCGGACGAGGTGCGTGTGCGCCAGTGGAGCAGTGCGCCACGTGGGACATTCACGCCAAGCTCCAGCTGGGGAAAGACCACGGCTCCGCCCATTCCGGGTGCCTGGAGCTGGAAGCGAAAGGCCAAAATCCAATTAGGGACACATTAATCAGTTAATTAGTACACACATTCAGCATGACACGTGTCTGATGGCACTGCCACCGAACGGGCTCCTCTGGCTTGGTCGTGTGCTCGTGGCCATGGCGACGCCCCTCCCAGTGATCCTTTTCCCCGCTGACATGCCCCAATTGGTGGTGAATGCTTCGCAGCTTCTTTTGGGCCAGCATCGAAACCTTCAGTGGCTGATGACTGGCTCCCTTTCGGGTTTCCTCCTCGTCCATCATTCCCACGAGTTGATCACTCTGCTTAAGGGTCAGCACGTCATGACTCAGGGCTATGTGTGGGTCGGAGCTGAGGAGCTCCACTCTGACTGGCTGCAGGATGGACCAAGGCGTGCTCCTCTCCAGCTGGCAGTGGGTGAAGCGACCTCCAGTCGTGGCCTTCTGAGTGGCTCCACGACATAGTTCTTCTATAAGCCTCTGCTCTGCTGATTTAGGATTCTGCAAAACGGTATTTCAATCATTTCTTTGCACAAAGATTCCCTTGCCAGATTCCAGATTCCAGTCTCCCGTCTCCCTACTGAAATTCTACTTGCCACCTACTTTTGTCTTTGTCTTTTGCCCCCTGCCAGAGGGCAGCTTTGTGGAGGTCTTGGCCAGTGCTCGCTCAATCTTGGCCTTGGCCTTTTGCACATTTTGGTTCATCGGTCGGAGGAGCAGCAGCTCCTCCACGGTGTCCAGGGCCTCGGAAAGTTCCCCTGTGGCAAGAAGGGGGGAAAGAGAGCATTCTTTGAAAATTGGGCAAATTGCATTGAATCGGGGAAACCAACCCGCGCGGTATTCCATGCTAAGAGTCGCCTCCAGAATCTGAACCTTTCCGCGTTCCCACTCGCTTTGGTGGTCCGTGGCATTTGCGGCCGGCGGCAGCTTATCCAAAGCCGTCTCCAGCCAGAACTTGGCCACTCCGACATCCGACTTCACGGCCATTTCCAGGCAATCGCTCCAGGACATGGCTGAGCTATAAGTATGCAAACAATTTTTGATTGTTTTCCGTTTCCCATTTCCTGTACGTCTGAATAACTGTATTCTTACCCCAGCTTCATGCCATTGACCACGCCCAGGGAGAGGCTTGCCGGCTCCAGCTCGTAGACCGACTGCAGGTGGAGGAGATTGCTCAGGGCCTCCTCGTAGTCCTCTTCTGTGGGGAGAATCAGATCCATGTTCTGATCCCTGTCATCACTCACGCTGATATTGTGAGTGGCATTCGCCTGTTGCTCCAGTCTCGGCCACACGGTCTGGAAGCGCTTCAGAATGGTCAACACATTGAGTGGGTTGCCCATGTACTCCTCCACGTGATCCCCCACCTGGCTGTGGATCTCCGCGATGGCCGCAGTCTCCCGCCTTATCTCTTCCAGCTGCTGGTCCAGTCGCTCTATATAGTCGCGCAGTTCATCAATAAGAAACGTTTCTGTGGCCAGCAGGCCCTCCAGCTGCTCCTCACTATTAAAGGAGCAGCCCACCCTTGACCAGAGAAGCGACACCTGGACTAGCCACAACAATCCCACAACAGCCCCGGGCATTTGCATAATTAGATGTCGCTGCCACTGCTTTTATTTCTTCTTTGGCTTTTTTCTCTTTTCCTCTTCGGTTTCTCGGGTCAATGACAATGTTTCAGTAAGTATTTATTTTTCTAAAAATGTATGGAACGTTCGAATCGAATGGAGTAGAATGAACCATCGACTAGCGGGCTTGAATGCTGCTGTTGGACTGAGCACAACAATAGACTCTTCTTCTGAGTCCAGAAGCTCGTTTGCCTCAGGAAAGTTGTGGCACAACTTTTTTTTTTTCTATTTATGAATAGTAATTAGCAGTTATCTAACCTTTAAGCTGAGTTTTTATAGTCACCCCGACCTCCTGCCCATCCTACCCGTATAAGACCGTAGAGGCAGAGAATTCAATCTTTAAATGGAAATTCAAGCAGGAAAATATTTTGACGACTTACCCAAATAGGACTTATTCAATCTTTAAATGCGTGATTCAACAGGAATCAATATTTTCCCGGGGGGGGGGCATAGTTGGGGAGGTGGGGTACTTTGGTAAGCTTTTTTTTTATGCTCAACAGGGGACCATCAAATCAAGATTTCCTTTAAATTGTAGTAAGACTAATTACCGTGGCCTAAAATACCCCGACCTTCCTTACTATTAGCTAACAATAACGAATTGGAATACATTTAAATTTAATTTAGTGTTAAAAATTATTAGAAATGAAATGGATTTTTATTTATTTTTGGTGCAGAATAATCATATCCGGCTGTACACTACTTGTTTTCGAGTTCGAGGAACTTTTCAGCATCGCTGGTCAACCCGCAGGGTCTCCTGAATTCCTGGCCAGCCTCATGGAACCACTCATTGCATACTGGAAGGGAAAAAATACATATTGTACTCACAAATCATCATTAGAAAGAAAGTTTGAAGAACTTACTCCATTTGGAGCCCTTGAGCACGGGACAGCCGGCGTGCTTGGTGCGGAAGTCCTTGTGGAGTGAACGATGGAGGTTATACCAAACGAGAAGACTCCCCTTGACGGGCGGCACGGCCAGATGAAGGAAGGGAAAAGCAGTGGCGCCTCCCAAGGGGACATCATTCAGCTGCAGATGGAAATACACAAATTATGAAAATGATTACGGGGAATCATAATCAGTGCCTCCTCCGAACTCACGTAAAAAAGAGCTGTCAGCAGGCGATTTCCCTTCCAGCCAAAGTTCTTTTCGGGATCCTATGGAGAGGGGAAAAGTAATCCAAGTGAATGGATAGGATTCAATGTCAATACGTACATCCATAAAGTCGAAGTGCGGCTCGTACTGCCCACCAATCCCATAGTTCACCAGCTGCAAGGGCTCCGCACTGTCCGTGGTCAGTCCGGTTATGTCCTCCAGTCTCATTTTGATGTCCGCCAGCCAGGGATTGTTCTCGTACCACAGCCACGTGTTCTGGCTGGTGCGGATCTCCGACACGGTGGAGTTTCCGCTCTGGCCAATCTCCGAGCGCGTCACCTGCCCCTTTCCATGCTCGATGATCAGCTCAGATTCCTTGTCACTGAGCACATCGTGGAAATAGGCCACATGGGGGTCCACGCTCAGCTGTTCCACCTTGAAGGGCGAGAGGCGCTGATAGGGCACATTCCGGTGGCTCAACCAGCATCTTAGATCCCGCTGCTCTTTGGGGGACTGCCGCAGTTCTCCTCGACACACGCGCTGGTAAAGTTCTTGGCTCTCCTTCAGCTCAGGCTCTGGAGCAGGCGCCTGTGAAGGTTCTACTTTAATTCTGGGACTGTTGCTCCTCTCTCTGGCCAGCTGAGCCTCGTACACAATTTTGTTCTTCAAGGCCTCCTCATGGCCAGGTTCCGCATCCAGGATTTCGCTGTTCAGCTTGTACGCAAGCTTCTTGTTGCCCAATTGGCTAAAGGCAGGCGAGAGTTGCTCCAGGATCTGCACTTTAGTGATCTTGGGAAGCACAAATCCTGAAGGATCCCGATTCAGCCTGGTCCTTGCTTCCAGCAGCCACTCTGAGCCGTAGGAATACTCCTTCATCAGGCAAAAATGACGCCCAATCTCGTAGCAGTCACTGGCGCTAAGTGACACATTCACTTGGTGCTGTTCCGCGGCGGACAAGATTCCAGCCGCCAACTGCTTTGTGGGGAGTTTGTACATCTCCTGTAGGCGCCACAAGCCACGAACAGCTCCGAGCAAATCCTCCTTTGTCGGTTCCTGTATCTCGGCCTTTGCCAACCCCGCGCTCACCAAATTCTTGTAGTTCTCCAAGTTACTCGTCTCGAAGACCGGCTCGAAGACACTATGCTTCCAGTCGTGGGCAAGGCGTCTGATGGTGGTAAATGCATTCAGCGGGTTGCCAAAGTAGTCCTCGATGTCCCCGCGTTGGCTCTGCAACTTCTCCACATGAAGAAGAAACCTGAAAGTCCATTCCTCTGTTAGCATTCATTTCACACCGCTTCAGCCGCTTCTTTCCAACCTTTCGATGTTCTCCTGATTCTGCTGGGCTTTTTCCAAGTAATCTTCCAACCGTTCCACCAAGAAGGCCTCCAGATCCAGCAGCCGCTCTACTTCGCTGATGGCCGAATAGTAATCCCCGTGAACCAGGCCCAAGCCCACACTCACACTCACGAAGTGCACCCACAGAAGCGCTCTGACTCGGGACATTCTCACTGCTCTGTCTGTAGATCGCTACTGGCATCGATGGAAGATTGAACCGGAGAGACAGCGGCAGACAGCAGCTCGGCAAACATTGACACAGTTGGGTTTTTCTTTTTTGATGTTTCTGGATTGGGACTGGGACAAACACATTGTGGCCCGAGTATTCTTGTAGTAAATAACATTCAAAAATTTAATGGTAACCAAGTTGGAAAGTCTACAGTAGGTTATGGCTATCAAAGCGTGAAAAATGCATTTCCCGCTTGTTATTTGTGTTTGGAAACTCAAAAACAAACGTTTAGTATGCACGAACTTTTGAAAATGAGAAGAGTAAAGTGCTTCTTGTGCCTGATCTTCCTCTGGTTTCCTAGTGTGACTTTAGAGAATCTAGACAAGAACTATGCCATGTCCATATACGATTTGGGGGAGCTGCTGAACTACAATCAAGTGCTGGTCAACCACCTTGAGGATTACGCGGATAAGTTGCAGCAGAGGGTGTATCTGGTAGACAGGTGAGTGCCACTCCATGAGATTACCCCATTGATAGATCTCCTTTGGACCCTGCAGCTTTGTTGAGATCACGAAAGAGAAGATGACACAAGCCAAAGGGATAGATTCCAACCCTCTGTCCAGTTTTCCCCTCCTCCGACACATGCAATATGATTGGCCCAACATTCTGTGGCATCTAGAGCAGCGGCTGGGAGAAGGTCAGTGCTCCTGCAACCATTGAATAACCTTTTCACTAGGAGTCTTTGTCAACAGCTCAAGCTACGATTATTAGCCTTTTACACTCCGAATTGCCGACTGCCAAGGATTTGGACGAAACCCTCAATGGGTTGTACCGCATTCAGGTGATTTACAATCTGAATGGCTCTGCTATGTCCAGGGGACTCCTCATGGGAGTTCAGCACAAGTGAGAAACAAGGAAAAAATCATTCGAACATAAGAAAAGTAGTCGTTTATTTGCAGTTACTCCCTCACCCCCTTTGAGGGCTATACCATCGCCAAGTATCTGGCGGAAGGAGGGGACTATGGCGGGGCAAAAGATTGGATCTCTGTAGCCTTGGATCTATACCTGGCGGATGGGGGGAACTGGGATTTTTATGAACAGCAGGGACTCTCTTCGGACAGCCTTTATGAGCTGTACGTTGAGGTGTTAGATAACTTGAGTGAGGACAAGGAAGTGCCTCTAGCCATGATGACGGAAGCCATAAAGAGGTATCCCGAGAATCACAAGTTGGAACGAGCTCTCACTAGGCTGGAAATGAGCAATCGTATTGGGGAAGAGCAGGAAACACAGAAACAGGTCAGTGGAGGAAAGAAAAGCAAAGAAAAGCCCGTAATCCGGAGGAATCTATCATGTAGGAGGCGGACGACCTGAGTACCTACTTTCGATGCTGTTCCAGAGAGTGCCGCCGAGGATCGCGACTGTACTGCCTCTACAATACCACAGCCAGGGCCTTCCTCCGCCTGGCGCCCTTGAAAATGGAGCTGCTGTCCCTCGAGCCCTATGTGGTGCTCTACCATGACGTGCTCTCCGACAGGGAAATGTTTGTACTAAAGTCGCTGGCAAAGAACAATTTGGTTCGAGCTGTAACCTACAATGAGACGGAAAAGAAGTATTCAGAAGATCGCCACCGCACCACTAAAGCTGGTTGGCTGAACCCTAGACACAAGATAATACGCAGGATGGGAATATTGACAGAGGACATGACCAACTTGGATCTCGAAGGATCGGAGGAGTTTCAGGTTCTCAACTACGGCATTGGCGGCCACTATGCCCCCCACGTGGACTACTTTTCGGTGAGTTCTAGATTCCTTGGAACAAAAAAACCCACACTGATTAAATTCAAATTAGGTCTCCGATCCTTACCTCCCCGACCGCATTGCCACACTCCTGTTTTATGTGAGTATGCTGTGGTTATTCTTTGGGAGAGATATCTCTGAATCTTCCCTTCATGCAGCTGAGTGATGTGCCTCTGGGGGGCGCTACATTTTTTCCCATGATCGACCTGTCGGTGATTCCTAAGAAGGGAACAGTCTTGATGTGGTACAACCTGGATCATAGAGGGCAGGGCATGGAAACGACATTTCATTCGGCTTGCCCAGTCGTCGTCGGCTCCAGATGGGGTAAGATCCGCTGCAACAGCGAAACAATATTGATTTTCACCCATGCAGTTCCCCCCGAACAGTTATGACCAAGTGGATAAATCAGCCTCCCCAACTTTTTCGACGACCCTGCCTAAGGGAGCACACTGAAAAAAAAGTAGCATAGTAAAAAGATGCACTCCCATATTTGAATTATGTAAACACGAGTTCTTAAATGCAAATATTAATATTATTTTTTAATTAATCATCATAATCTTGCGTTGATACTGAAATGGATGATTAAATACGAATTGCTTAGGCAGCAACAAAATAAATACCATTTATACTGTCATCTGTACATTTCGCCAGATATTTTATTTATTCTCACTCTTCCCATTCGTGGCCCATCGTTAAAGTGTTTTGTGCATGCACGTGCATGTTCGTGCGTGCATATTGTGTGAACCGGTAGCGAAGAGCAACAGCAGCAGCGACGTCGACGCCGTGACTCCAACGCATAATTGAGCAAGTGCTCTCTCACTCTGACTTGCAGTCGGTCGATCGCATATCGCTGCTAGACCAACATTGCCGGTCCCTAACTAAAACTAATCACAGTTTGGAGCGGCGGTGCTCGTGGCTTATTACACATATGTATAAACCTGGTATCTTAATCTAAAGAGAGTTTCTGTTCTATGATTTATACCAGCAGGTAGCATATCTCTCTATCCATTTCTATAAAGTATATTCTGAAGCTAGCACGTCTCTCCCTACTGCGATTAGTTATTGTCTAAGCAAAAAACCAGTTTCCAGCTCAATGAACCCCGGGCTTTCTTTGGGTGCGTGCGAAATCAGGTTTCGAATCAGAATCAGAGATAGAACCTCTGACATCTCTGGAATTATATAATATTCAGTCGCTCTTTAGCGCGGGGTCAAGTGATGTTGGTAGATTCAGTCAGCATTGAATCGCTTCGGGATGATGTTATGTTTGCTGTTGGTGGGTGCCCTGTGGCAGGTCCTTTTCCCTGGCTGTGGGGCCGAGTTCTACTCCTCCGTGCACGAGATGACCAAGGTCTTTGGCTACGAGCAGAAAATGCTGCAGCACATGCAAAAGTTTGTAGCCGATAATCAGAGCAAATTGGATTTCCTGAGAGCGTAAGTGGTAGCGAGGGGGCGTGGCAAATCGAGCATGACTCGGCAGGGACTAATCGAATCTCGGAAAACTCAATCTGCACCGACAGGCGGCTGCGAGAGTTCGAGCAGGTGCGCAGCGAGGCGCAGCACTGGGGCACGGCATACTTCGAGAGTCCGCTGAACCAATATTTGCTCAGCAAGAGACTGACGGTGGACTGGCGGCGGGTGGAGAACCTCATGGACGCCGACACGGGCCAGAGTGGGTGACCCATGAATTTAGCGGTTCAAACTCCATTAAAGACACATCTCTTCCTTACCAGAGCCACTGGAGCGGTTGCTGAAGCTGCGAAGGCGTCCTTCCATGCCCGATACCAGCGAACTCGAGGGTGCCATGGATGGCCTGCTCCGGCTGCAGTTCGTCTACCGACTGGAGGCCAAGCACCTGGCCAAAGGCATCCTGGATGGAGTGAACCATGGGTGAGACATCGATAATGCACCCAATTGACATTTGCTGTATTTTTCCTTTGCTTTTTAGCACACATCTGAGCTCCGAACACTGCCTGGACATTGCTCGCTTGGCATTGAAGGATCAGCATCCGCGACTGGCGCACGCCTGGCTGTTGGAGGCGAAAGAACGGCTGACTCAGGATCCTGAACTCCACCCACAGATTCTGGCTCTGCTTGTGCAGGCCAAGGCAGAGCTGGGCGACTTCCAGGGAGTGAATGGCACTTACCAGGAGCTCTTGAGGCTCCAACCAGCCAGCGAGGAGCATGCCAGAAACTACGAGCAATTCATGCGGAACCATTCAAGAAGAGATGGCTTGTATGAATCCAAAACCATAGAGGAACACGCCGTAAGTGCGAAAAGCTAATTTTCAAGTTTACATTCCAACCGATTGATTTCGCTTCTAGCCCATACCCGAGGATTCCTCGCAGCTGGACGAGTTTCAGGCCTACAGATTGACGTGCAGTGGCCACCGTAGGCTTACAGCCGGAGAGGAGCGACATTTGCGTTGCGGGTACATGACCGAGACGCATCCCTTCCTTTTGTTAGCACCCCTCAAAGCGGAGGAATTGAGCCACGACCCCCTGCTGGTGCTCTACCATGACGTGATCTACCAGAGCGAGATCGACACCATCAAGCACATGACAACCGACAAGATTCGCCGCGCAATGATCATAGGCACCAACCAGTCGGTGGTGTCCAATGCGCGCACTAGCCAGATCACCTTTATCCCCAAAACAGAGCACAGGGTGCTGCAGACCATCGACCGTCGCGTGGCGGACATGACCAACCTGAACATGGACTATGCGGAGGATCATCAGTTCGCCAACTATGGCATCGGTGGACACTACGCACAGCACATGGATTGGTTCACCCAAAATGCCGTAGGTTCTTGTGGGAGATAGTTCTTAGATATGTAGAGATCTATCGTGACACTCTTTCTTCTTCCCAGTTTGATAATGCTTTGGTCTCCTCCCCTGAGATGGGAAACCGCATTGCAACAGTCCTCTTCTACGTAAGTAACAAAATTAAGTCTGCGCTTAGCCTACTTACGTAAAACGTCTCCTCGAACAGCTCTCGGATGTGGCGCAGGGCGGCGGCACAGCCTTTCCCCATCTGAAGCAGCACCTGCGTCCCAAGAAATATGCAGGTACTTAACAGGATCCATTGTTCACTTCAAACACCATTAACAATTAGTTATTTTCCGCCACGACAGCCGCCTTTTGGTATAATCTGCATGCATCGGGCGGAGGGGATACCCGCACGCAGCACGGTGCCTGTCCCATCATTGCTGGATCTAAATGGGGTAAGCGAATGGATCTCCATCTCCAGATGGCGGTCTGTATATTCTATATATTTATTCTCTATATCTTCCTTCCAGTGCAAAATCGCTGGATTCGGGAGTTCGTGCAGTCCGAGCGACGTCCCTGCCTGCTGTGGGATGACTCTCTTGTCACCTATAGCCAGATTATTGAGCTGGCCAAACAGCAGGACGCATCAAGCTAAGGGCCACTCAAAAAACCAAATCAAGCTTTAAGGAATGAGATTCTAGTTTTTTTATATTTATAGGGCAATAAATGTAATATAATTTCAAGTGATTCTTTTTTACGATAAATTTTATGTCTCTTTGGTCCTCATTATTGGTTACGAAAATACTCGTACAGTCTCTCCTTCCCACTGTCCCCATAAGCATCCCATAAAAAAAAACAGCCATGATTGCCTGAGGTCCCTCCAGAAACGGTCTCCAGAGGTCCCCTTTCCAAGTTCTTTATTTCGTTACTCATTCATTTCATTCTCGGCTTACAATTGTCGACCTTTTTTTTAGTTTAGTTCTAACCAACATTAATAATTTGCTAGTAGCTGGGATTCCCCGACGGGATGAGAGGAATCCATATTCTGCCTGTGGCATGCAGCTGCTTCTACGATTCGGGTCCGATCGGGTCTGTTCTATCCGCAATATGTGTGTATTTGAATAAATTCAATAAGTATGTCTTAAAACAAACATCCATATGTGTTTATTGTAGATATATATGTGTAATGCCTTTGATTCCAGCAACAACATTTAGTAATTTTATGTGTGTGTTCTTTCTTATCTGCTCTTTGGCATAATAGTAATAGTCGAATAATATGACAGTAATTCTTTTGTCCTTTTCTGGGGTTTGTATATGCATATAAGTTGAAAAGTTCACCGCTCTATCCGTCAAAACATTTATATAAATTTCTCTTTTTTTTAATTTTTTATATCTCTCGATATATTGTTTTTTCTTCTAGTAAATAAAATAGTTTGTCAGTTGTGGAGTTTTGCTGCAATTTGAGTTGCAATTGAAAGGACACCAAGTGAAAGTTCTTTTGACTATGCAAATGTTTCATGTTTCTTGTTTATAAAGATTAAATTCGCTTTATTACGAGTGTATATGTATCTTCCATCTTTCATTACGTTTCATATGTGTGTGTATACTATGTGTATTTCTGTGTGTAATGGCCCGGATTCGTTTCCGGTTCCGCTTTCGCTTTGTGGTGGGTGTCTCTGTGTTCACTAGTTTTAGTTTTAGTTTCAGTTAAAGTTTAGTCATAGTTTAGTATGTCTTTCCAAGGGATTGTCTTTGGGGGCACGGGCACATGGTACACATTCAACATCGATATACAAATACACGATTTCACATAAATATAGGTATACATGTATATATATATATATATGTTGTATATAGTAAATATCTGTATATTCATCGTTAAAATTTGACTAAGTTTAACTTAAAATTGTTGCCGCACACGCTTTGCCTTCTCGTTTCTCGTTTATTGAAATTACAGTTTCTTCGCATAAATATATATTACCATTTTTCTATATCTTTTGTACACCTATAAAGAGTATCGTATCTATAATAGAGAGTATCTGTGCTCTGTAGTAGTTTGCAACGCATTAACTTCACATCGATAATAAGTTTGTTCTTGTTGAATATTTTGATATAATTGCATTAACTTTTATGGAATAATTTGCATTTCTTTGCTTTGCGCTCTTTGCGCATCGACCATCATGTCGATCCTTTGATTTGATATATGCTTGTATATATTGTATGTATGTATGTTTAAATTGAAACTCCCCATCGGCTGCAAATCGGCCTCTTAACAACTCCATCCTACGTTCTTTGCTCTTTGCTGTTTCCTGTTTAGGTTTAGATCTCGTAGTTGCGGAACTTGTTGGCCACATCCGTATTCTCGGCCCCCCACTCGGTCTTGCGTCCGCCATAGTAGAGTGCGGCACCGCCCTCGGAGGCCCGACGATGGGCCGGATTGGGGGAAGCTGCGGTCAATCCGCCGCCGCTGCACCCAGCCCCAGCCCCGGCTAAAGCTCCCGGTCCGGTTCCAGGTCCATCTGCGGTCTCCGGCAACATACGATCCTTGGTCTTGGGGGTGACCCAATGCATCGACTTTGATTGGAATTATTGGGGTTATTCGGGAGAGGATGAAAATTGGCATTAATTGAAAGTTCTGTGGTTTTCTAGGATGGCCAATGGCAATGCAGACGCAAATGCAAATGCACTGGCTATCCTTGAAGCATGCACACACACACGGACGACACACAGAGTTGGATGAAGAGGCACATTCAAGATAGGTAGACATTCGGTGGGGCGCTCAGGAGCAGGAGCAGGAACGGGCTCACAGAGATATAGAGAGAGATACATATGTACGAGTGTAGGGTAGGGGTGTCTAATTGTGTGTACACTAAAACTTGAGTTAAATTGGAATTGCAAATGAGGATTTTCACTCCATAACTCCCACTCCAACCAAAGGCCCCCGGACAATGTCCGCCGCTGATGGATGCGCGACAATTTCCGCTCTGTCCGGCAGCGGAAATTACCATGGGGGAGCGGAGGCAGAGTGGGCATGGGCATGGGCTTGGTGGTTGAATAATCACGTTAATTGTGGCGCAACAAAAAGCGACTCCAGCTTGGATTACAAATTTCATTAGCTGCCTGGGAAACAACAAACAACTGAAGGAACAACCGAAACAGGGTCAGGTGTTGGCGCAGTGCAGCGGGATACTAAAGGACAAAGAAGTCGGATAATAAGTAAGCGGACACTCGGCTCGAGCTTTTGTGCCACGGAGGGGAATAGTATAGGGATGGAGTGCTACGGAGGGAGATTAGAGGTAGAGGTTACTACTTCTCTGACTGGTTTCTCGTATTGTCTGCTGTTCCTGGCCCATACGCATACCTCTTTATCCACTTTCTCGGCAATCGTGTATCTTCTCACCTGACCGACATGCTCCTTCATGCCCAGCCACTGCTTGTAGCTCATCGAGATGCCGCTGTTGCGCCACTTGTCGTACACGGCCCGCTTCTCCGGATCGCAAAGAGTCTCCTTGGCCTCCTGCGAAAATTTAATGAAAATAAAATGCATTCATAAATGAAATGGTTTTTGGATCTCAATAGCACTAGGAATACTATAAATACAGCACTCAAATTGGATAAAGTCATATACATACATATGTCTGACAACTTGCATAGCTTTATTTTGATTTTTACAGCCAGAAATATTACTGCATTGAATCTTTAAAGTTCTGGCACTATTGCTCGGATTTATATCGATTTTTTGTGGTTCCTTTGATCTCCGATTCTGTTTCTTGGAAATCAAAAATAATTGGCCCTAAAATGTTGCATTTTTCCCTGAATTCATTTCCATTTTACACAAATAATGTGGGAAGGAGTAAACCATTTACTTGCAATTCGATATAACTTCTTTATGTGTGGGCCTACACACACACAATACTATTGCCCCCGCTCCTCCTTATGGCCTCATAGAAGTCAGGTTTGCTCAAGTGCAAAATAAACAGCTGCAGAGGTTGCGGATGCCTTCGTCTGGGGCTCTGCCTTTCCTTTGCATGTTAATCAATTTCATAAGCCAGGATACGGCTTTGAGAACGGGTCTATAGCACACATATTGGCATGTCAGTGATTCACACTCAGATAGAGGTAGTTGGCAGGAGCAGGGGCAGGGGCAGGGGCAAGGGCTCCTTCTAGCCCTCACATATTTGCACGCTCAAGTGGCTTTGATAGCTCTGCTTGGGCTGGATTTATATCTCGACTACTTTTACGGCCAGACCCAACACCAAAACAGACACACAAAGCGATGGTAGAGACACAGATAGGCATGTTGCACACACACACACACACACACACACACACACACACACACACACACACACACACACACACGCATAATTCTACAACTATAAGATGTGAGATTTCATCGGCCGCCCTACTGTTTTATTGTTCGGGGGACGCTTTTCGGGGCCGTGTCTACATGATAATCAATTATTTTACTACTCACTGATTATGTGGGTCAGCAAACAGGACTTTGGACTCGGGACTCTCACTGACTGACTGCTAGAAGGATGCCTTAAAGGATTCCTGCCAGCTTGTTTGTCTTCAATTAGTTATATTCCGAGAAAATTTTAAGCTCCTGCAGAGTGGCAATTAGTCGGTAGATTGCGGCTCATCTGCACACGACTGGAATCAAAATGAAAACTGCTTCAAAGCACTGGATGCCTGTCCGCTTGTCTGCGGTTCCTTTTTGTGTCACTTTTGGGGCAGCTTGACAACTGCAAACTGTGTTGTAAGTTGTTGGTTAAATGTTTAAAATGAAGTCAGGACTATGCCAGGGCCTTCTACTCTTTTTCCTCCGCTGCCACCCGTCTCATTTGCATAGCCTGTGGGGAATGGAGAACACGTCCCGACTCTTCTGAATCTCCACATTTCACTTTAAACGTTTCATGGTCTCGAGCTGGCTTTGCTTTATGGCCTAACCATAAAGCCTGCTTCTGTTCCTCCGCTTGGCTCTCCGCTTCTGCATATGCAGACATCTTTACGACACACGTGTCCGACTTTACGAGCTGTAAATTTTAGGGAACAAGCTCCTGAACTGTTAGAAGTATCATTATGACGAAATTGTGAGAGTGTGCACAGGACCCTCATGCGTATTCAAGGACTACAGGCTTAGACACCCACCTGTGTTGGGAGTTATGTAATTTCTGGGCTCTCGTATTATAAACTTCAAACAGACTGGAATAATAAGTTTGAAGATTTTTAATGGAGGAAATTTAAGTCCCTTAACTTAGAGAAGTGTTTTGGGACAGATAGCATATCTGTACCGTAGCAGCAGTTCCTGTGGATTTCTCATGTTTGTAATGATATCAACACAGAATATTCCCGAGATTTCATCATCGATTCGGATTTATTTTTCATTTTTTCTAACACCTGATTACGGTTCGAAGAATCTCTGCTGAAATAGATTGGAAGGAATAGAAGTAGAGTACCATTCATCACTGGTCATCTGTTAATATCGTTCCAAATAGCACACTGTCATAGATTCTCACGAGTGAATTCTACACTCAGTAAATTAAATCATCCCCTAAGTGGAAGCAGACCACACCTCTACCTGTACCAATCCCCACAAACATCTCCCACTGCCTCTTCATTAAAATTGTGTGTCTTTTTTCTTTCATCCACACATTAATGAATTTTCAGGCTCTAACAATCCTCTGCACCTCGCCGCCATTTGTGGTCCTGACAATGTTTCATGCTTTCACATGGAAAATCAATAAACGTTTTCAAAAAAAATATATATATTATTTATAGGTAATTGATTTTATCTCGTCGCTGGCGCCTTGTTTTCTTTTGTTGCTCGGAAAATTCAATTTGAGGCTGAGGGTGCGTATCCGTGTGTGTGTTAGCCATTGAACAGTGCCTGGGTGGAATTCGGTTAAGTGCATGTGTGTGTGTGGGATCCATTGTTTAATGCAGCTTAAAACTTTCACCCAATGGCAGACACGACTTTGAATGGATTGTGCCTTCGGTTGAGTGAGCCTTCAGCTAATTACTGAAACTATCCTAGGATAGGGGGGGGCTGTGGGTAGGTGGATGAAGGATATCCAAATGTATTTTCTGTTTGTGAAGGTTCCACTATCATGTTTTAAGATAGCATTGATTTCTTTGACATATGTTAGGGATAGGCAGTTTTATAGATATTTATAGACACTATAGTTCTATTATATTATATCCTCCATTCTCATCGCACATCTCTTTTAATCGCCCCACACATGTGGGCTACAAATGCCAGAGGATTGTGAGGTATCTGAAAGTTTGTTATCTGCCCCTGCCTCTACCATGTTTTGGGCTTAAACATCTTTTAATTTTAAGCTCGCTTCGCCAACTTTGTTCCTAACATATTGGCCCACAGGCTGTCAAATTTACAACGTCTCCATGATGCCCCATTCCTCCTTCCACTCCCACTCACACACTGTCTTTAGCAAGTGAAAACTTCATTAAATATGCAAAATGTTGAAACGCTTGCCTTTTTTCATTTCAGAGGGACTGGGTCTCGATTCTGGTCCCGGTCCTTATTCTGAGTCCATGTTACAAGGCATTTTTCAGTAGTTTCCTTTTGCTTACCTTTAGGTTCTGGAACTTGGCCTCGGCCTCCTTGTCGCCGCTATTCTTGTCAGGATGGCACTGCAGGGCCAGCACCTTGTACTCCGCCTGGATCTGCTCGGGCTGTAACGGGAACAAATAGCACAGGGATTGGGACGTTAAGTGAATTGCGATAAGAAATTCTCTTTGCTGCAAATTAACTAAACATTTTGTGTCATTAATTTTTAAAGTGCTTGTGCTTCTTTCTCTGGGGAAACATATTATATAATGGGAATCTAAATCCCCAGAGAAACAGCCAGCCATACATTCATTCATATGTATGTGTGTTTTATGCAGATTTCCGAAGAATGAGCGGGGCCTGCCAAGGATATAGCAAGTCATGAGGCAGGACTGTTGGTGGTCGTATCTGTCTTCCATGAAAAACCCAGCCGAACAAGGAAACAACAATGGGAAAAATATTAAAACTTGACTGGAAATGGAGAATGGTGTGGAAAATATTCGTGCGATGGTGAAAACCACTTAAACTAATAGAAAAGCTGTCGTCCCAGCAAGGAAAAGCAAACGAAGGTTTGGAAAACTTGAAGGGCTTGAAAGCTGTTGCCAAATTAATTCGCCCTCAACTATTCCCCTTTTTATGACATTGACACTGACGAAACGGTTGTTGTCAGACGGCAACAATTGGCCAAAAATTGAAATTAATTAAGCCAAAAGTGTCTTAAAACCGGGCAACAAGTTGACCGTCGGCTAAAAGAAATCAAAATGACTCTACCTCTGGCATTGACACTGGTACTGGCACCGTAACAATGGGCCGGATTAAGGGAGGATTAAGTTGGTGGGGAATCAGAATCATCCACTATCCCTAGCACAAAGCCGCCTGTTGATTGTCTTGTAAATGGAAATGGCTTTTCGGGCACCACCAAGCGGGGCACACAAAAGACACACAAAGGACCCAGAGAGAGAGGTGCTGCCCAGCAGGGGTGTTGGCCCTGCATTACTTTGATTCCATTTCTGAACCTTTTGTCTGCCTCCCAAACAAAACAGAAAGCAAATATCAAAAGGCCGAGCCAGAGAGCAAATTTATTTAGGTCATTCTATTATTTCTAGACTTTTCCAAACATTTCATTGCGCAAAACATAAAAGTATCCAAAGCCTGGATATTTTGTAGGTCAAATGGAACGTTCTGCCATTTCTAGTTTTCATTAGCTGCCTTTTGCTGCGCCAAATTCACTGCAACGGGGCGTATAATTAATTTCGATGCAATTCACATTACTCATAGGTCTTGGTGTACATGAGGAACGCGGCACTCACAAGACTCAACAAATAAACAGAAAATAGACCGAGAAATGTTCGTATAATTAACCAAGTGGAATCATGGAAACTGTGGCAGCCTCGGGGGTTTGAATTCCTTTGAGGAATCACAGAATGCATTCCCCTCCTCCTAGGAATCTTTGGAATCCGCAATCGCATTAACAAATTGCATAATGCCATTGAATGTCTTTCATTAAATCCATCGCCAGCCAATCTGTATCTGTATCTGGATTTGCATAGCAATTGCATCCCCGGAGAGTCATTTCCAATTGATTCATTCGGTTGCACCAGTTCTGTTGGATGAGAATAAGACTCCACATAGCTCCCAGAACAAATCCCACTGCAAATTAGCCCCGAAAACATTTCAAGTTTGTTCAGTGGGATTGTCATAGATTGCTGAAATTGCTCGGATTGTCTGTCTTGGGTATGCAAATTCCATTCCCGAGAACAATTGCCAACTAATCTACATGACAATGAACCCTCCGCTCGGCCGATGCATTCTCCCCAGTCATTCGATGGTCAAGGCTGAGGGGAATGTGTGGTGTAAGAGTCTTGGATAAACAAACGTCAGCGGGTCATCAGAGACTTCGAGTACGTGATGGAGGCCAGGCCATAATGCTTAACCCAAGCCTTTTCCTTTCCTTTCCCCGCCCCATTCCCAGCGGATATGTATCTGTGGCACAGGGAGGGAGAATATTTGATGAAATCGATTCTGATCCAGGCTTAGGTTCCTGTCCACAGCCTGGCCACAGCATAGCATGCCTCGACTGCTCGACTGATGCATAATTCAATAGATTTTCCCAATGCAATCGACAGCTCTGAAAATTGCCAAAGGTAAAAGCATTTTCCGGGCCAATAAATTTGATTACAGCAACGCCTTTCCAAGCATTGAAATTTACTGAGCCCGAAAATGCGATAGCTCAAGACGAATGTCATGTGCCAAAGTGCCATTAAGCTGCTGGGGATTGCCCTTGCCTGCCAATAGAGTGGCTGAGGAAGCTCGTTAATTCTACTCTCAGAGGAGTGGAGTTCAGGAAGTTTTCTCATATGGTTTTCAATAAGCGCTGGAAGTGGAGTTAGGACAGATCAGTGCCTATTCCGCCAATCCAACACGACTGTTTTGAGTAATTGAAACTAATTCCCAAAGCAAAATCTCTCACCTCAATATCAGAGATGGAAACAGAGCCCGGAAATTTCAAGTAATAAAAAGATATCACGATTTCAAGGTAGCGCATAAACAGAACTCATCTGAAGGTTGCGAACTTTTTTGTTGGACGGAATTCGATTAGACCTCTATTAAATGCTCTGAGAACTTTAATGGGTTTTTATGGGTCACCTTTTTATCCTTAAAATCCTGTGGAAGACTTACCGATGAGGTCTCATCGCAATGGAGCAAGGCGTAAAAGTCCTCGTTGGGACTACGCTTGTAGTTGATAATGGCATCGACGGCGCTCATTGCGTCAGGATCTTGCTTTCCTGGGATCGGCTGGGATTCTCACTCTCTCTCTCTCTGGTTCTGCGGGGTAGCGGATTCCGTTTATGGGGAGACAAGAAAGTTGAGTTTCGAAATGTTGCTGATTTCAGTTTTGTTTTATTTTACGGACAAATGTTCAACGCTCTTAGGATCAAAACAATAACATCCAGGTACAAATAAATGGTGACAAGTAACGTAAAAAAAAGAAAACCGTCTAGGAGCACTTCACGCATCAGGCAATCTTTTAAATATTCCTTGGGAGATAAATTTTAAGATCTATCGCACACAAAACTCTGGCTCATATTATTTCATATGTATAATAATAATGAAAGGTGGAAATCAAAGGGGGGCCGCGAGTGACCTTCCCATTCGAACAATTAACAACTAAAAATAAGCTCTACAATCAAGGGACAGATCTGGTTTGTGTTCGATTTTGTTTGTGTTTGAGCCACAGTTCACTTTCACTGTTTTTTCCGCTCTCTTCTCTGTGCGTTTCTCAGTTCTCTAGCACTTTCGTAACACCGCACTCTAAAGAACAATAACTATTGTTTGGTTGCTGATTGTTTCTCCGCACTCAGAATTGCATCAACTAAACGGAATCGTGGATTGCACCAGAGACTACTGTGCTGGAAGTTTCTCTCTGCCGCCCACACACTGCACTCCACTCTCTTTGCAAATCTCAACTCTCTCTCCAGCTCCCACTCTCTGTTGCCTGTGTGTGTGTGTGTATATGCTTTGGAGCAGTTTATTTACTTTGGGGCCAAGCGAGCGCTCACGATGTTGCTGGTAGCGCGTCAAAATTCGTTTTGTTTGGAATTCCGTGGCGGCGTACCATTCACTTTTCAAAAGCCACTTTACAGCCCCACAGATTTTCGTTCATGGAATTCCATCGATTCCATCAACCGAACTCTGTTAAAGCGCTGAAGCTGAGTGACCGAAGCGAGCCGAGAGAACACTTGATTGCACGCACTGAAAAGAGAGAGAGAGAGAGGCTTGCAGCTGCGGGCTAACAAATTGCGTCGCAGCCTCCCACTACCAGAGATAGAGAGAGAGCCAGAAGAGCTATTGGATTACCTGGAAGGGTCTGTCTGCTTGGAACAACAGGTTAATCGGGGAACTACAATATTATTTTAAGGTCTGTGACTTGTGACTCAGTTTAGCTCAGAGAAAACGGGGAATAAAAAAGAACAATTAATATATATGTACATACATATATAAACCCATGTATGTAATATTTCTTATCCCACACATGTGTGCTGTGGTAGAAAGGTAGAGAGATTTATTTAAATTTAACACCATAAAATGAGCTTTGCTATTCATTCTGCAATTTAACAGAATTTAGTCGAAAAGCTTTTCAGAAAGTTGACAGAGGTAAAAAGCTCTCCGCAGATGGTGTATACGGGAATTTCTCAAACTAAAAATTCATGTGTCATATCTAATGTTAACGTAAGAGCAAGTCTAATGTTAATGTCAAATGTTTATGTTAGGGCGCGAGGTTCAAATATGCACCTCATTTTCTTTTTGGGCCAATCTGAGCTAGAAATGGCTCCCCGTTAATGTTCTTTGAATTATAACATTGCGACTTTTGTTTTCTCCGCTTTTTGTAGGCCGATCTGATAGAGCGACAGCTTTTGGCTATCCAAAAGTATCCTAAACCCAATCTGATCGGGCATATGCGAAGCACACTCCGCCCACTTGTTGCTGCCTAGCCAAATATAAAGAAATATTTAGTATTCATCTTTCCCGCAGCTGTCAATGTTGTGTTTCAATGTTTCGTTAGATGGAAATTAATGCCCAAAAAAATAAGAGAAGCCCATCAATCTGCGGACAGCTGTCAGCAAAGTTTCCCCCATCAGCCCCACCCACACTGTACCCAACTGAATATACTGTAACTCTGCCGAACCGGGCCGAACGAAAGGAGCCACATAGCATTCGTTTTCAAATTAAAAGAACCATCGAAGTGTGAAGGAAAGTTTGCAGCAAACGGAAACGAAATTGAAAACTGTTGCATACTTTGGGCGGCCGCAAAACAAGAACTCCACGGGCACCAGTCCCCAGGAAAAGCCAATAGACCACCGCCGCCCACTACCAGCACCCACTTTGACCAGGCCGAAAAATGATTTCCGTTCATAAATCATCATAATGGCGAAGCAGTTCCGGCCATATGTATGTATGTATATCTGGTCAGAGGGAAAACCAGAATCAAATGAAGACGAAACCGTTTGACCAGCTAACGATTGGAGAGTGGTAGTGGGAGGAGATTGTTGGCGAATGAGTGAGTGGGGAAAGTGCGCCCGTGCGTTTGTCTGTCACGCACACAGACAGAGAAAACAAGAAAATTTGATGGATCGGCTATTTCGACTAAAAGATATCCTATATTTGAGATTGGAAATCTACTTAAGGAAATTATTTTTAATGGATAAGTAGCTAATGAACATACACACCCAAAATATGCCAAAAATGGACACAATAAGGCGAAAATGGGATCAAGCTGAAATCCAGACATCAAATTGTGTCTATGCTCACATGCTCGCACATGGAGATAGACAGTCACGTGCTTCATGGCTACAGGGTATACACATGCCAGAGAGCTTGAGGCTTACCTTACCCCCACACACGTGCGGGCCGTCGGGCTGGCTGTGCGTGTGACGTCAACAAATGGCGCTGGTGCTGGGAAACGGCACGAAATGAAACGTTTTAATTAGACAAAAGAGCAAAGCTACTATTTATTTCCATTTCTGCTTCGCCTGTGCTGTTTACTGTCCACAGCCCGCAGCACTGCTCCGGCTCCGGAGTGGACACCAGAGCTACGACGTGGACAATACAATGCCAAACCATTTCGTTCCACAGTCGAAGCGAAGCCTGCAGCTGCTGATAAACCTTCTCGCCAAAAGCAATTGCATTCTCTTTTTACCCCACTCTGTGTCCTTGTTTTTCCTTCTGTTGGGGATGCGGCGAGGGCTAGAGGACTGAGATTCCCTGTGGCACTGATAAGCGAGACTTTTCCGTAAAGAAAGAGCTTCAAATAGCTCAAGAATTGTGGGGAATATTGCTCATTCTCTTGGAGATTCCTTGCGACTGCAGATGTATGCATACCAGACGGTGTTCTCTTCCCTATAATCTCTCCCCGTTCCTTGGGTTTCTAGTGCTGCTTCATGCTGAAAGTATGCAATGGAAAATCTCGCACAGTGTGAGCTTCCGTTTCAGGTCGGATTGCAGGACTGCATTCTCTGCCATCTCTGTTGGCCATCACTCCCCTAACCCTCTCACTCTCTGTCTCTTGACAGAATTTCTCCTGGCTTGCAGTTAAAGGGAAAATCGCAAGCCAAACAAATCTCGAGTGCCCAGGATGTGTGTGGCAGAAGGAAATCTGAACTTTTCAATGGTCCATTCCTGCCAGCACCTCCCCCTCGCCATCGCCCACGTCCTCTCCCACACATTGAACTCATTTAATGGCTGAGGGGAGAGGGGGGTGAATTCTCTAGAAGTCGACAGAAATCGCTTTCGGTTTGCCGTTTTTGCGTACTGTCAATGCTAGGAGTGGCTCTGTGTCTCGGAGAAAATTGAGACAGAACCGAAACTTTTCTCCATTTCCGAGAATCATCTTTGTGCGTTACACATGCCGCTCTTCCTGCCTCCCCACCCTGCCCCTCTGCCGTCTCTAGGTCACCCAGAGTCAACGACACTTGCCACAAAGAGAGAGAAGTGGGGTTGCCTTGTTGGCTTATAATAAAAAGTACTTAATTTACTTTGTGCAATTTACAACTGTGAAATAAACAGGGAAAGCCAAGGCCAAGGAAATGTGAGGAGGCCAAAAAGGAAGTGCGGTCACGCCTTTCACACCCCTTCACACTTTTCCCCTTCCCCACTTCCCCAGCTGGGTAACTCTGTTGTGGGGTACACACACTGCACAAAGTATACATATGTGGGGCTGTCATCGCTTTGTTTTATTACCCGTTCGTTCACTTTCCTTTCAGCTCGTAGCCCTTGCTTTTCCCCCTGTTTTCCCTATAATTTATTTATGCATGTATTTTTATTAAAGATTTCCATGGCGTCGTTTTCGTTCCTCTCGTTATCGTGGCTGTCGTCATCCGCCAGTCCCCAGCCAGTTGTTGACAAAGAAATTACTTATTAATCATATTTGAGCGCTGATTCCACAACGCCAAAAGGATCCCGATTGGATGTTGTGGTGGGGCGGCATCCCTACACATACCTACATACATATGTACATACTCCTAGTAGTATGTAGTATGTATGTACATATGTACCCCATAAAGATGAGTGTTATCCTTTGGCTTTGTGTCACTAGATGGATAGTAGGTAGCTCTTTCGTAGCCCCATTTCGTAGCCCATAATTGCATTTGCTCATCAGACAGAGGACAGAGCGAGATCCATTGGTTGTATCTATGTATATACATCCATTTGTCTCGTTTCATGTCGCATTTCCCTGCTCGTTGCGTTTTGGGGATGGATAGCATAGCTGAAAAGACATTTTCGAAAATTAATTTTAGAATATTTCGTCTTGCGTGTGTTTCCCGCTTTGTTTACACAGCGTACAGTGGGGTGAGGGCGAGGGGACAGACATTGGAACACTTGTCTTTCATATATCTTGCAGTCGGCCAATGCGATACAGGAAGTCCGCACAGTGCTGTCAAAATGGTATCTCCGAGCAGCAGCGGCAATTGAAAGCATTTGCTAATCAAAATCAAATTCATATGGAAATCAAACACAAGGCGGAGGCTGTCCGCCACTTGAGATGGAGATGGCCGACTGACAGATGCCCTGCCAGTCGCCTTGGGGCACCCTGTATGAAACCGCCACGCGAGGGAGGGATGCATGTGGATGCACTGGCTTCTCAGCTGTCGAACGCCAGCAACGAGCAGCCCAATGGCCGACATGCCAAATGCACGGCGCAGGATGCCGTGGGGTAGAAGCCCAATTTCGAGTATCATTTTCAGGAGGGTGTCTGACGGTGTATGATATAGGGGGAGGGAAAAAGATGTATAGCAAGGAATATGATAGGGATTAAATATGGGGAAAGCTGCGTCCGGCTATCCATCCGTCTATTGATTAAGAAAGTTTCCCCCTTTAATTTTTCTTATAAATTGTTTTTATAAAAAGTGATCACAAATATGAGAAAGGAACACGAACGACAATGGGAATAGGTATCGCAAAGTCCATCATTTGAGCAACTCTTCCATTCTGCACTCTCTCTTTCAGTCTCTCTGCCCATTGTTTGACGGCATGCTCTGGGAACAGACCACCGAAATAGCTCCACGCACATGGGACTGACTCCCTGCATGGGTGGGTTAGAGGGATGCAGGGGTGGGTGGTCTGTGCAGCGGTAGGGGTTTCAAATTTAACGCGCCTCAGACGTCAGGAGGCAGCCGCACTAATTGCAGTCGCCAGGGCAGCGAAGCAGTAGCAGCCGCCTGGCTGACGGGAAAATTGCAACAGGCGGACAATTAGCGGGACCTCTCATTCTCTTTTGTTTTGGCCAAGCAAAAGCAAAAGCAACAATAGCAGCTATACAAAATACAAAATACAAAAAATGAGACGAAGATCAACATTCAAAAATGAGAAATACGTCAGTAGAGGCAGCATCAGTGAGAGTGAAGAGTGGAGAGTGTAGAGTGGAGAGCGTGGGGCGTGAGAGATGTCTGCGCTAGTCGCTGGGCTATTTCTAGCCTATATATCCCCCACATCCTCTCCTGCACAAATTTTCCATTCTGCTCAGCGACTATATGCTGCTGGCCAAGGTATATTTCGAGTAGGGTTAGGAAATGCCAGAGAGTGCTCTTGCTCCACCATCGCCTCGTGATCCCAGGAAAGAGCTAGACAGAGCGTAGAGAAATTGTCAAGGAAATGCCACACCCCTATAGAAAGACATCTGTTGTTGGGGCGGCTGCTCTCCGGCATCGGTTCCGGTGGCCTCTGGCAGCAGATTTAGAAACATAGGCAGAGAAAAAAGTAGAAGCAGAAACAGAAACAGAAGCGGAATCCAAAGCAAAAGCAGAGCAGCAGCAAAGCAAAGCAAAGGCAGCAGCAGCGGATTCGTGATCGTGTAATTTGCTTCGTGTGCCTTTCCCCAATCGCTGTGTTCGTCGATTATAATTATTCATTTGAATAGGCTCAATCCGAATCGTAATCTTTATCTTTATTCACGAAACAAACTGAAATTTTGCGTTTTTGATTGTAATTTCAATTTGTTTCGCTTTTCATTCACTTTTGTCTTGTGCGTGTGCCGTCGTCAAGTCCCGACTTTGTTCCGTTGTTCCATTGTTCCGTTATCTCTCTCTCTCTCTCTCTCTCTGCCTGCCTCCGTTGTTCTCGTTGTTGTGGCGCCTTTCGTCGCCACTGAATCCCACCGGTCGCTCTCACAAATGCAGTGAACACCGCCCAGAGAGGAAGCATTGAATGCACTATACCCCCAAGATCAGATCCCAAAGGATCCCGTCGTAAATCGTACACCGTAAACCACATAATAGTATATCGTTCAGGAAAACGTGATCGCGCAGTGATCGTGAAGTGAGGAACGGCGCCCCACACTTGTTTATATAATAATCAGTGGCTGCCAACAGCCAAAAGTCAAATACCGAAAAAATATATTCATTTCTGGCCGATCCGATTCTTTTCAGGCAACGAAAACGAGAACATAACGAGAAATATCTCCTGTTGTTGTGTGTGTAATTGTTGTACCAGTGAGTGCCAGTGCGTGTCAGTGGATCGATCCGGAGAGGAGAACGAACCAAGTGAAAGTGCTCCAAAGAAACCACAAGCAAAACGAATCAAATCCCAAGTAAAACCAAGAAAATCCACACAAATCCTGTCTAATCATGTCGGACATTGAGGATGTCTTTGGTGGCTCCGCCGAGGAGACCAAGCCGGAGCCGGATGCGGATACCAACGCCAACGCCGATGCGGAAAGCAAGAGCAGCGTCGTTACCGAACGGACCGAGGAAGTCATCCCTGGAGAGATCGAGAAAATGGTCACCGAGACCATCGACGAGGATGGAGACGTTGTGGAGGAGACAACTGAAGTCACCCGCAAGACGGTCAAGAGAACCATGAAAATCACTGAGGTGAGTATTCCCAGGCTTACGCCATTAATAGGAACTGAACCCAGTCTACTGAATTATAAGAGATCGACCCTATAAACAATAGAAACAAAAGGTATACATACTACAACTGATCTTCGCATCACTTTATGTACACTATATGTGTATGTATATGTACATATATGCATAATGATTTCAGTCCATTAACTCACATGAAACCCATAGAAATCGATGCGTAACGGAAAGATTCTCTCGAAGCTTTTGGATCCCCTTGAAGCGTTTAGCTTATTAAACCCAATAAATCATATTTCACATGTAGTGTAGTGTAGGGATCTCCTCATCATTTACAGCCCCCTTCTACGCTTCCACCCTTCGCCTTTGTGATCTTTGTGCGCTTGAGAAATTGGTCAAAAACATGGCGAACTCTGGGTATATTATTTATTTAAGATGCCATTTCTCTATGTGCGTCTTAACAAATTGTTTATACGGTCCCGCAAATATTATAAATCTTTTCCTGCATTATATACATCACACAAACGAATTTAGTCGAGATCTATGGCTATATATTCACTGTACATATGTATGTACATACATACATATTTACATACATATATCGCCATGGTTCGGCCACACTTTCTATAGGCGACGCCACGTCGAAGAAGAAAAGCAAAAGGAAAACAAATTTTGCAGCTGTTTGATTTCTGCGCAAATTATCACAAAAGATTTTGAATTTTTTGAAAGCCCGCGGATCGGATCAAAAAACGGTCTGAATAAAAAAGAGAAAAATTAAATTATTGTTAAGCAGAAATCACTTAAATACTCGATGCCATGCCGCTGTGATGCCAAGATTCCATCCTCCTCCTCTTTGGGGGAGGAACCCAGAGAACAAAATCTGAGACGAAGAAATGGCAACAAAAATTAAATGCAATAAATTCTGTGCCGCCAACAAATGTAAAAAAGTAAAGCAAAAGTAAAAAACGAACATACAAACGCATAAAAAATAAAAATGCAACAAAAAACAAAAAACAGAAAATAAATATTGAGGTTTTTGTGTCTTGCGGTCTGGCGCGTACTAAAGGGGTACGACGGGGTGTCTAGTGCGCCACGGGCACCGAGTTGCATGAAAAGGCAAACCCGTACTGAGTGTGCCGCTTGTACAGCAATTAATTGCCACAAATCGTTGCACAAAATTACATTTACAATTGCATTTCCGGCTTGGCGCGGCAGCCACGCAGCCACGCATGCAACATGCCCCCCATGCCTCTCCCCAGCACTCTCTTTCCGTCTCTCCCTGATCCACCCCCGGCAATCTTCGATTTCTCTGGCTCCTCTGTCCTCTGTTTTACGACTGTCTGCTACAGTCTCCCACGTACTTTCCTCCTCCTCCTTCTCCTTATCTGCAACCAAATTTCCCCGAGTTTTATGGCAGCCAAATTAAATTTGCATTGCAATTGGCTTTTGGGGTCGGTTCGGCCTTTCTTTTTTGTGCCGCCGCCGCTGGCTTTTATGTGCCCGAAATGGAAATGGGAATGAAAACGCATGAGCTTCTCCGTAAGCCAGAGAGTCCTGTGGATAAGGATGTGAGGATTGTCATTACACTGAAAGAAAGAGAGGGGTTTGGTTGAGGGGAAACGCCAACGAATACTTGGGATAGGGACACAGAACTATGCTAAAAACAGTGCTACCCATCATCTTTCGATAAGTTTTCTTGTATGTGACAACTCTTCGTCGTTAGATCTGTCTTCTAGGATCGTCTTTGTTTTCAGTGCATACATGTGTGCGGGAGTGTCCACATGTGTCGACGGGTTCGGTGCCTCTCTAGCCCCGGGCAGAGCAGCTTATGGAACTAATTGCGTTGCCGCCTGTCAGGATCCGTTCTGACTTTGCAACGCGAGGCAGAGCTCATGAACTGCTGAACTTCTGCTGAACACTCGCTTTCCCCCCTTTTTTTTCTTTGCAACTTTTGCTAATGAGTCACGTAGCATTTTTGTCATTTTTATGCGCTTAACAGGTCAAAGTTCCGGCCGCAAGGGTACGTGCCTAGGAGCCAGAGTTCAAATTGCAGATGCAAAATTAGTTAAATAAAGTCGGAGCCCAGCCCGTGGGAGGCTCTGGCCTTTGGCTCTCCCTTTCCCCCTCCTCTTTCCCTTTCCCCTATTCACTTTTTCATCCCTCGAGGAAAACTGTCATAAATTTCACAGTTGATTTAACTGTTGTTCCGCTTCCGTTGTCCGCTGTCCGCTGGCTGTTTGCTGATTTCATTTCCCATTTCCCAATGTATTTAGGCAAATCTTTTCTCCGCCTCCGACTCTGAATCTCGGCTCTCTGGTCAAATGGGGCATGCTAATTTGTCCGACGAGCCGTAAACCTACACATAACCAGGCTACAGCACACAGCTGCTCCCACTCCCACACCCACACCCACCACCACACACATACATAATGGCATTTCCTGGACAGGCATTGTCCCTCTGCTGTGGCGTCCTGCCCCGGTCAGGACTCTGTTGATTAGACATCATAATATTGAGCAGAGATTAATTGGAAATCCATGCGAGTCTTAGTGCTGCTCCGCAGAGGCTAATACGAATGTGTTTGCATATATATTCGATTGTGGATACAGAGAGGATGATAGGTAGTGTGCTCTTTCCAATCGATTAGCTAGTGCTCGTATCGGATGAGACCGCAACTATTTCCATGACGATTCCATTCCGATATTAATTCATTTGAAATTCGCCAGCGCTTTCCGCAGAACTGCGGATAGCCGCATTCCTAATCAGGAACCACCATTAGCCCTTCTCTCCCCTATCTGCCCCAGCGTGCCCTTGCAACGCCGCTGACAGATGTCAGTGATGGCGCCTCTTGAAGTCAGCCAGAAAATATTTCACTGTCACAACAAATATCTTGCACAAACAAATATTCACTGAATATATACGGTGTGTGTGTGTGTGTTTGTTTTCATACCCTTTCAGCTTAAATTTGAATTTGGTAATGCCGCGGCGGAAATCCAGATCAGAGGAAAGAGGAAATACCGAATCTGTTAGGGTATTCTCTATGTTCGTATTTGTGGGTGTTGCTTTGAGGGCGACACAGAACGAGATGACAATTCAATGTCAGTCATTTGTCGCGGCCTTTGACGCTCGCTTAGCTTCCATTCACTTGTTGCAGTTTCCAAGGCGAACGGCTCCTGCCCCTGTCCCTGCCCATCCCCCGTCATGACCCTATTTGCCCCCCGCGCCCCTTTGCGTGGCTCATTTCGAGTACATTTGGTCAGATATTTATGCGATTCGTTTTCATTCTCATTCTCGTTTGTGGCTCTCTGTGTTTTATTTATTTGGTGCCTTTGGCTGTTCAAACAATTTATAATTTTGATGCACACACACTCCCCAGACCCCAGTCCCCGCCTCTCGGAACCATCGCCCCCTGTTGACTGAATACAATCGAAATATGTTTATATAATTGAAAGGCAAACGTTTTTGCGTGAAAACATACGAGTAGCGGGCCCCCTTCGTTCCCCTACAACATACATACTCGTACAAACATACATATATCATATATGTATGTACATATTGTATATTGAAAATATGTAGTATGCTAGAACCGATCCCACATGCATGTTTTTTGTAGATAAATGCTGTGGGCCATATGTATATAAATAAGTCTGCCAAATAGTGCGCGGCGCACGGGGCGTATGATGAACGTGCCATTTATTCCGCTGAGCGATTTGCAGCTCCCCCTTTTGGGCCCCACCACCCTTTCGACTCCTCCGGCATACAGGAAAATCCGCTCTATGACTGGCATATATTTCATGTAATTTTCAAACACTTTTCCCTATTTATTTATCCAGATCTCATCCGAAATCACTCTCTGCCGCCGCTACTTTGACCTGCCGCAACGGAAATTTGCCCATTGCTACGTCTCCCTCCACCGCAGTCTCCATCTCCTTCTCCACCCCATCCGATTTTACCCCTGAGTTTTATAAGCGTTGCAAACAAATAATTTCCTTCTTGAATTCGGAGCGAGTGTCGGGGGCGGATATTCTATTCTATTGAGAATTTATTCCAATTACATTTGTGCGGCCCGCAAAAATCTCAACAAATAAAATTCAATTTACAAAATGTTTTGCGTAGTTTTCCCCACTCTAAAGCGGTGGGGAGTGAGCCCCGAAGGGGTGCCACAAGGAGACGCGCAGCAAAACAACAAAAATAATAACAATGTTGTCTGTTTGGCAAATCAATAAGGAAATTTTCAGATTTTCACGAGCTTGCTTTGAACAGGGCGAATGGGAAGGAGGCCACTCGACATCCTACTCCGGCAGAGGGTCCAAATGCAAATTAAGCTCGTGGCCAAGGAGGAAGCCTCGCTTACAATTAGCTGAAAATTCCATAGACGGATTAAAAGGATAAACCTGGAAGTTCTCTAAATAGTTCCCCCAGGCAATTGGCATTTCCTTTCAATGGAAATTAGGATGGTAGCCCCATCCTGCACCCACATTGAGGACGCTCTCCTTTGTGACGCAATTTTCAAATTAGTTTGCTGAACAAACGGAGCGAGGCGGCTAACCTCATTTAACAGCAACTCAACAAATATTCCGATATTCTCAACAACAGAACACTGACAGCTGCTTGTTTACACTGACGCATCTTGGCCGTTTCCACGTCCACTACACTGGCTCCGTTGCATCCACATCTAAATAAATAATGTCCATAAATTTTAATTTCGATTTCGTTGAAGTCGCCACAAAGACAGGGGGGTTGACACCAAATCCGGTTCATAATTCCATTGGAATTTTGCCATGCTCCCATTAGAGGTTCTGCCTGTCGTCCTTTATACTTACACTACTGCGTAGTGAAATTATTGTCGTTCTCCCATCATATATTCACCTTATGGAAATAGGATTAGGCGTAAGTAGGACCTTTTAAAGTTAATCAATAAAACAAATAGTGAGCGCACTTTAAAAAAGTTACAAAAGAGAGTCCCACTACAGATAATTTTTGCTACTAATTTAAATGGAATGTATCGCCAATT